TAAAAACAAGCCATCATAATTACAAATAAAATTCATCTATGGTCATTACCCCATAACAAATCGTGGGAATACTAAAATAAATTGAAATGTATCAGGTCTTATCACTATACAAGAAATGTATTTTATTGCGTTTGAGTCACGTAGTACGAATTGGCAAGAAAATGATTTATATTTGGTCGTTTAACGTTATGAAAATAGAACGGAATTGTAAATGCAGTATTACTGAGTGAACGGTGTATGTATCAGTGACTTTTTCAGAAAATCTGCCCAATATATATCTTAAAATGATACAATTTAAAAAAATTTGATATCATTCTTAGAAAAAGAAAAAAAAGAAAAAAAACTGAATTGAAAATCGATCGATTTACCTTTTTACTACAGCCATTATTGTTTCAGACAATTTTTTAAATTTCAAAGATTGTATCATTAAGAGCAATATGTTGGACACGTTTTCTGAAAAAACCGAAAGATTCTGTTCAGTGACCTTTCCTGAGCACCTACTCTTAGCTGTTTTTCAGGCACATTTTCAGAGGGCTGAAAAGGTTATTTCATCATGTTTATGGTCATTCTGACCATTTCCATTGCGTTCCCAGTCATGTAAATGATATGTGGAACTAGTAAAACTGACTAGAGGTCTAAACAGAACTCTGATATCTTGCTTCAAAAAAATTTCAAAATCCAGCATGGCTTTGTCACTTCCTGTTTTGTCATTTCCTGTTAACTTCCATGGCACCTTAAAATGTTTATGAAAAATTTTCGGACAAACCTTTTTCCTTATAACCTTAGTCAATTGTTGAGGATTTCAAAGATTTTTAGCATCATGTTCTCAACAGAATAATAATGGGCATTAATGCGTTTGTGATGCTAAAGATAGAAAAGGTTTTACGATGGTCGGAAAGTTTTTAATTTTGAAATGAGATTTGTTATAACTACATTATCGAGAAAGCTTATCAATTGTCCATTATAAACATTTTTGTATATTGTCCAGCGGCGACGCAGCCGCAGAGCCACATTTTGGCAACCAGCATGTATATACGATAACATTATTGTATGTAAATAATACACTCGGTTTTTCTGCAGCAGCCGCAGAGCCACATCCTAGTTAATGTTATGTTTCTTAAGTGAAGGTTAGAATAGAAATCTCAATACTTAACTTGAAAGGCGACTACGTCAACCGCAGATCAATTTACTCCCCAGTCACATTTGTCGCACAGCGGCCGTAAGTACACCGCAGATCAATTATATCAGTGAAGGGAAGCCGTAGATTTTATAACTCGGAGTTACAATATTTGTTAATTTCTGCGGTCCCCGTAGAAATCAACATTCTGTATTTTGGATATGCGAAAGAAAGACTATTAACATTTACTTGGACAAATTCGGCCCCATTGCTGGACGAAAGCAAAACGAAATTCCGATTTTGACACTAAAAGCACGGAAGGGAGCGAATAAGGATGTCTCGTTTTTGAATGACATTTGTGATCTATATATGTATGGTTCGAACATTTCGGACACTTTCCCACGTCAGACGATCTCTGCGACAAGTTTTCTACCGAATCTGGGTTCTTCTGAAGCTGATACAATCACAGATCAGTCGACGCGCTCAATTGAGATCGACACACGGGTTGTTTGTCTTAGCCAGCGGGTAAGTGAATTGGAACGTATGGGAGACTCGAAGGATGAGCAGATATCAAAGATGCAGAAGGATATTGCAGAGCTTCAGCAACAGGTACAAAGGTTGCTACAAGCAGGTCAGTGTGACTTTTCTAAACGTACACATATAAGCGCTACTGTAACTGTACCAACGCAAACTTCATCCACGCTAAATTCTAAGCCGGCCAATAATAGGACCAATAATTCGACTAACACGCCAATAACTGATTCACACCTGAATAACAATACTTTGCCTATAAGCGACCTCGCTAATAAGCAAAACTCACTACGTAAGCCTACTGAGCCATGCGAGTCTGTCGCTATACCGCCATCTTTGAAAATCGCCTCGCAACCGCCGTCTGCAAAGTCGGTGCAACCAGTGCCTAATGTATCGAAACCTGTCACTTATTCTAGCGTAGTAAGTGAAAACATAGATGATTGGTCCATTGCTGGCCCTAAAGGTCGCCATTCCCCTCCACCAACTCAACCTAAAGAGCCTCGACTTCAAGCCCACGGTAAATATAACCCTTCGCAACAACGCCGGAAGATGGTTACCTTAAAGGGGATCCAAGAAGTCGAAGGTGCTTTCGTCTACGTCAGCAACATTCGTAAAGATGGGAACGTTAGCGATGAGGACCTCCGTTCCACGATAGTTGCGTATGTTAAACAAAGAGGCATACGTGTCATGAAAGCAGACATCGTACATAACCGAGTTTGCGATGATAAGGTTGGATGCAAAATTTATATTCCCAATGATCAAGTAACCCTAATACTTGACGAAAATTTCTGGCCAGACGCCGCTATAGTTTGCCGAAGATGGGAAAAACGAACAAGATATAATAATAAAAATTCTACTTACCAACGTGCTAATGCAATTCCTGTCTTCACAGGGCACACCTATTCTAATGCGCGTGGCTATCATGCACAATACGATCCATACAAAACTGATGATGACTATGCATCAGACTGCTTCGCGTTTGACGAAACTGATCGACAACAGGCTGTTTAATATGTGTGAAAATCTAAAACACTTGCTGTTTCTCATTTTATTTTCTGCTTTATTCAATAAACAGACCATAGTTTTTAACAATCAAGGTAATAGTGAGTTAAGACTAGCACAATGGAATTGCCGAGGTTTCAATGTATCTACTCCATATATTCAACATTTATTGTCACAATGCGATATCTTGGCTCTCTCAGAGCACAAACTCTATCCCTGTAACAGATTCAAGCTTGACTCCGTGCACTCGGACTTTCGGTGTTACAGCACAAGTAGCAAGAATCTAAACGATTTTAACTGTGGTAAAATATGGGGAAATGGTGGTGTTGCTATTTTCTGGCGTGATTCGTTGAGCAATTATGTTATTCCTGTTAAAAATATGTCAACAGACAGAATCGTTTGTCTAAAGGTATCAATAGTGCAAACTGCGCCTATTTATATATTTTCTGTTTACTTACCTCAACAAAATTGTGAAATTGACATGTACGACGATGTTTTATTCTCACTCGAACACTTTGTGCAAAAGGCTAGCATGGATGGCAGTGTTATAATTCTTGGCGATGTAAACAGTAATTTGGGTACGCTTACGGGTTGTAGGGGTCATGGTAATCCCTCATCTAATGGTATCAAATTGTATGATTTTATGCAACGAAATCTTTTAACTGCAATTGATATGACAGACTTAGCATGTGGTCCAAGACATACATTTGAAATGACTCGAAACAATGCTCTTCATGTTAGCTATATTGATCATGTCATTTTTTCTTACACTTTACGTGAATGTGTTTTATCGTGTACAGTCCTGGAAGATGAGCCTGACAATACATCAGATCATCTTCCAATTCAAACTATATTAAATTTAAATGCTCAAATAGAACGTTGCCCAGATATTGAAGCCCCAAAAGGATTTGCTTGGAACAAACTCAACTGTAATGAAATAAAGGACTCGTACACTAATTCGGTTACATTGAAATGTAACGATATTTTACTTGAACTGCGTTCTATCTTGTCCAGTCGGACACTAAACGCAGCAGAAATTGATCATTTCATCAATAGAATAGTAGAGAGTTTAATTTTATCATCAAATGCTCATATACCAAAGAGGAAATTCTTGAAATATGTTAAGCCCTTTTGGAACTCCACTTTGACGTCATTAGCTAAAGATAAAAAGGCAAAGTGGCATAAATGGGTGTCTCAGGGTAGATCACGTGACCCTTCAAATGATGTTAGAAAACAATATAAAGAGTCAAAGAAATTTTTTTCAAAAACCTATCAAGCTGCACAACTTGAGTATGAAAGAGAGGAATTAGAAAAATTGTATACATCAGAACAATCAGATCAACGCTTTTACTGGTATCTGGTCAATAAACATAGAAGATCATCAAAGAAATCTGTTAATCCAGTACTTGCCGACGACGGCCATTTAATTACAGATGCTAATGAAATCAGAGAACAGTGGAGGTGCCATTTCGAAAAACTAGCAACCCCTTTAAAGATGTTGATTTAAGAGCAAAAAAGGCTCCAAAACTTAATGAAATATGTAGTTTGGATGTTCATTTATGTCTGTGGATTATATTTTATACCACAAACACTTTATAAATACCTGAAATTTGCAATAAAAGTGCCCAAAAATTGTTGTTTCGAAATTCCCCATTTTTCCTGTATCGCGCTAGTCACGTGACCATTACGCGTAGCAGTCAATGTACAGATATTACAGTACATATCCCTAATATGTTCAATATGGCAAACATCAGCGATTCTGATTCCCGGGTTCTGGGAAATGACTATATAAATCGGCGAGAGGGTGTAATTTGAATGAAGACAATTTAAGGAGGGGAAATGTGTGCAAGTATGGCAGTAAGAGAGCAGATATGGGGACTTTAAACAAGAACTATGACGGAGAATCAACTAAAAATGTGAGTTCTGGAATGAAGACCCGTTGCCATTGACTGAAGATTCCAGCGATCCTATTATCATACTCAGTTTGAATCTAGACGCGGAAAACAGATTATGAAAACAGGTTTTCTGCAAAGTTATCAAATTTAGAAGATATGGATCTTGTTTTTGAGTGGCTTAACAAGCATTTAGATACCAGACTTGGCGCTATCTCTTGTCAAATACATGCACTGGACTTGCAGTAAATTGGCCATTGCAAATTGCAAAATCAGATCGTCAAATTAATCGCTTCGTTTTTAATCCTACGCTTCATATCTTCTTCCAAAACTTTAGGATTCGATAGAGATAAGTTATAACTTGTACAGGAAAAAATGGCAGATCCTACCTTAATTTAAAATCGCTGATTTCTCTGGATAAATTCCGAGAAGAAATTGTTCAACATCGCGATCACCCCAGACAACATGTCGCGTGCGTGTCACTCTGAACTCACGTGATAAAATACGGCATCTTGATTGGTTACTACTCGTGTTGTCATGACGTGAAAAGCAGTAGTAAACACTGAATATGTTAATGAACTGCCATATATGGAACAATTGTCTTTCTGATTGGTTAACTTTACACGCCTCCTAAATGAATATAGTAGTCGTAGTAAATGATTCATTGATAACTCTGAAAGTGGGCGTGACCAGCTTCATTTTGACACCAAATTCAAGATGTTTCAAATCAAAATGGCCTCGCAAGACGAGGTTGAAATATCAGTAATTTGATACTGATATGGTCTACGATAGATCAAAATTGACTGCCCCGCGTCACATGTCACGTGAGCCTATATTTGTTGAAAAATGAAAGAGATAGTGACACTTTTTAATCTTAAGTTTATACCAATATTACAAACACATATCTATTTTTTTCATTATATATTTATTTCTTCTTAATACATACATTTGTTTTATACTACATTGATTTATTTTTGCAAAACCTTTGCTATTAGATCTTTAAACAAACCGACGTTTGATAGTCATTTTAAATACGAAATTGAAAACAAGGTCCAAACAATTTTTAACAGTATATCCAATGATAGCACTATTTTTAAAATTACTCCTGAGATGGTTCATAGTGCAATAAAAGCTCTCCACTCAAAGCGTGCATGTGGTTATGATCAGATCAGCGCAGAACATCTAAAATATGGCGGGGATTCCATGGTCCAAACAATTTCAATCATCTACAATATTATACTTCAGTCAGTCTACATTCCATGTAACTTCTGTATCGGCACAATGATCCCTCTTGTTAAAAACGGCAAAGATCCACTTGTAAAAGACAACTCAAGAGGTATTACGCTCATGACAATGCTTCGTAAATTATTTGACAACATTATTTTAACTCATGTAAAAGCACCCGTTCTAAATGCTATCCCTAAATTACAAGGGGCAGCTGTCGAGAAATGTTCATCAATCCATACATCATTACTTGTACAAGAAACTATTTCTGAAAATGTAGAACAAGGTAAAATGGTAGTTTTAACAGTAACAGATATCCGAAAAGCTTTCGATTCTGTATGGATAGATGGCCTACTTTTTAAACTTCACAAATGTGGTATTGACGGTAAGATATGGAAAATTTTGTATATGCTATATAAGCGGTATAGTTGCTCGGTTTTAGTAGGCGGAAAATGCTCTGACTTATTTCCAATATTACAGGGTGTCCATCAAGGCGGTGTCCTGTCCATGCTATTTTACCAACTTTATATGGCAGATATAATTGACTCCATGATTAAGCTAAACAAGGGATCAACCATAGGTTCGTTAAGTTGCGTTAGTCCTTCATATGCCGATGACATGTGCATCTTGTCGAATTCCTTTGAAAACATGCAAGTGCTACTTGATCTACTCCATGCTCATAGTAATCAGTGGAGATATGAAGTTCATCCCGATAAGTGTTCGTTTCTCGTTTTTAATAGTAAAATCGAGCTAGGTGCAACTCAGAAACTTAATATCGGAGGTAAATCAATTGCAAAATCTGACTATGTGAAGCATGTCGGAATCCCAATTTCAACAAATAATGATATTTCTGATTATGTACAGGATAAATGTAAGAAGGGCAAATCGCAGTACAATGCTCTGCTCGGTATAGGTAGTGGCTGCGGAGGCCTAATCCCAACATCTGCATGTCAAATATACAAAACGTACTCCATACCTACAATGACATACGGTGCCCATATTATCAACTATCAACAGAATGATATAGTTGTTCTAGAAAAGACACAACGAGAAATAGGACGGAGAATTCAATCTCTGCCTCCCTCAGCTAGTATTCCCATTTCAACTTTGCCCCTGGGCCTTATGGACGTTGAATTTTATATTGACTTTTTAAGAATGATGTTTCTCTGGAGTTTATTGCAACTCCCAAGCGCAAATATATATAAATGTCTTTTCACAATGAGATTTGTAAAAATGCTGCATGTTAACAATGAATGTAATACCTTCTCTCCAATAAAATGCATGTTACTGACATCAAAAAGGTACGATTTATATAACCATGTTCTAAATATGGTAGACTGTAAAATGTTCATCCCCAAAAATAGGTGGAAGAATATTGTGTATAGACAAATCGCAGCCGTTCAGATGCAAAGGACATTTTTCCAATCGCTAATGTACAAGGGCCTAAACTATTTTAGAATGGGTAACTTTGAAATTCTGAGGCCAATTATATGGTGGAGAGTTGCAAGACTGTTCCCTTTTGCTTTAAGTAGTTGTAAAATAATGGTGAAACTGCTAGCAGATGAACATGCGCTTAGATCAAAATATAGAGGTTCCGAAGATAAATCAGTTATATGCTCAATGTGCAGCACTTATGAAAAAGAAGACGTAGATCATTTCTTACTTAAATGCCCAGCAAATTTATATATTATTTATAGAGAACAACTTAGTAATCATTGCTGTGAATGGGGTGTCCAAATGAACATTAAAAACATTCTTGGCATAGGAATTGAAGAGTTGCACTTTACAAACGAACAACTACTTGTATTTTTAAAAGATATGGCATATATAGTTATGCAACAATATTTGTGTCGTCAACGGTACTTGACAAGTTTACAAACTTAATGTAACTTTATCAGCGTGAAAGGGTGGCCCTCAAGGGAGGAACATGGGCCGACCAGGGGGTAATATGCAATATGTATTTATTCTGAGTGTACCGACTTTGAGGAAGGTACAATAATAAGCAATGCTTTATGTTTGTTTTTTCTTGATTGGTAGTTGCAACGTCAACGCGGCAGCCTGACGTATTTGCAACAAACGATTATATCTCTTAAGCAGCTATTTTAGTTTTACTCGCATATTTGTATTTATATTTATGTACACTTACTATACATACTAATTTAGAATTGCACCATAGGGCAACACCACCTTTCTTCAATTTACAAAAATTGTATATTTCTTTTACTAGCTTACAAGATGTTGAAAGCATATCATACTTTCATACAGTACTGCAGTACCGACCTTGGGGAAGGTATGATGATACGCTATGTCTTCCTTTTTATCTTTATAGAAAATGTAGATCCATAATGTCATTATTTATTAATCTCAAGAGTGTTAGGTAACAGGTCTATCTAGGCCTACGGCGTGCGTCTACGCGGTAGCTAGGCGTCGTCGTCAGTACAAAAAAACAACAACAACAAATTGCAGCCGTTCAGATGCATGTATGTCTTCCTTTTAATTTTATAGAAAATGCAGATCCATAATGTCATTTTTTATTAATATCAAGAGTGTTAGGTAACAGGTCTATCTAGGCCTACGGCGTGCGTCTACGCGGTAGCTAGGCGTCGTCTTCTGTACAAAAACAACAACAAAACAATGAATGTTTGTAAAATATGGTCATTTTTTATAATCGCGTTACAATTAGGTGCTAGGCCAATTTTGGTCGGCGGCGTGCGTCTACGCGGTAGCTAGGCGTCGTCGTCAGTCAAAAACAGCAATATTGTTTGTTTGTAAATAGTGATTATTTTCAATTTAACATTTACATAATTTGTATACATGTATCTCCTTTATATAAAGGGCAATAAATATATACATACATACAACAGGCCGTACGTAGCCAGACCGCATAAAGGTCATTTCATTGCAATCCGTTCAAATCGTTAGCTACAAAATTGATTGACTAAACGTATGATACATAAATGAGAGCTAAGAAAAAAGCGCAAGAAAAAACAGTGAAATGTACTTGAAGTGGCGATTGTGTTTTCTGCTTACCAGTTACCCAGCTCTAATAGAGCGATATAAGGTGACTTGATTATGCAAATGAGAAGACCCCATTGGTTTCCCGGTCAAACAATCAAAACAGACGGGGACAAGCTTTGTTTGAACTGTTACTATATCTAGTATTTCTTAACGTTTCGTGACCAGAAATCCACTTAACTATAGGGGATATATTCCGTTATAAAGATAGATTGTTTTCACTTACCAATCATTCACTAACATGTGCTGTCATATTCAGCTCTGGCCTTCATGTCAAAAGGGGGAAGGGTAACCCCCACACTGAATAAATTCAAAGTTCGCGCACCCTTATTTTTCATTGATGATAGAAGAGTTTACGATAAAATAAAAGGCCGAACGCAGAAAACATTGAAATTACGAACGCGGTACGTTTGGGGTATTTCTCTCGGCCTTGGAATTACTCAAGAAAAATAGACCATCCATAGACGACATGCAACGACATCTAATTTTCGTCGAGTGAATCATTTCCAAAAATAATCAATTTTAAGAGAAAATTGCACATAATGGTTTTGCGAGACGACCTCTATCTAACACAAGTAAACTAAAGAGATCGCTCAAAAATATTGAAAAAATGAAACCATTTTTCTCATCAATTTTAAGACATACTTCTCATGGATCGAATCACGTTTTCTTTACAGAAAATAAGACTTTGCTTTATTATGTGGGTACGATATATGTTATTTTGCTGCTTAAAAAACGTTAAGTCATTCTATTTACGCACTGAAAAACGGTACAAAATATAAGATGAAATTTCATCGCTTCGCCAAAATGCGTTTTTCATAATTCAACAATAATATTTTAGAATATAAAAATCCATCACACCTCCGATATTGTCCTCCGATATTGTCTGAAAATTCCATAATGATCGTGTAAAAAATAAAAAAGTTGTACTCATCTAAAAAGCTCTCTCTATCGAGCCTCTTCCTTTAGCTATTTCCCTAGGACAATAGTTAAATGGAACACCCTACCCGGTGACATCTTAGACTGTGACAGTCTAAGTAGCTTTAAATCAGCATACTATGCCTATGTCAATAACTGCAATTAAATAGGTGTGTTTTTAATATAGATCTATATTTTAACGTAAAAGGCAACAATCAACAAGCCCGCACTACTGGTAAAGAGGGGTGATGTCAACGTGTGAAGCCTGACAGTCGCCCCAGGGTATTTCAACATAAAGGGACTTCCTAGGGGGTACAGGGGCCAACCAGGAAGGTTCCTTTCAATTTTCAAATGAGTTGTAAATCATAGATCTATTTTTAAATGTTAAGGTTTTAAATTATATTCTATTCAAATTCAATCACTGTTAAATTATATATCTGGTTTATATGGGCTCATTAGCCTTTTGTAGATTATTGACATAGACATAGATATCTGTTCATCGATGTATAAGTGTCACATTGTGTCAGCTAAGCTTCGAACAATCGAACGATTTCAAAAGTCTCGTTCACAAGAAGCTTCAGCGGCACTGATGGAGGTTCCAAACATTATTCTCGCGTTCGCCATTATTTCGCCATTGAAGGTAGTCTGCCAACCAGGTAAGATCTCTCCGATACGATCACCGCGTTGAACTTTTTATGATGCAAACAATAACCAATTAGAAAAGATTAGGAACAATGCAATATCTGAATTTTGATTATGAATAATTTAAATATATTTGTTTGTAAGAATTAAAGCATTTCTTTTGAGACTGTCTTGACATTCTTTTCAGTTTAAACACAATTCAATTTTATTTATTTTGGCAAAACAGACCAATATACGACAGTGAGAGTGACACATAATGCAAAGCGTAATTTGTGTCAATCTATACACAGGGTGGTCCAAAAAATTGGACATTCGTATTCCAAAAATGAATGCTGATTTTCTTGATGAAAACATGTCAAATTATATACCAGTGGATAGGGAATTTACTTATCTTATCTTATCATAAGTTCACATTAATTATAATGGTTATCAACCGGCGTCCATAATATAAATGATGACATTTTTCAAAATGGGTTCTCCAAAACTTGTTTCTTGTCAATTTTATTAACAAAAAACAGATATTCAATGTGCCCATCATTTTGATCAAATGTAGCCCTCAATCTTGGTATAAACAGGTCAATAGCATCATTGATATGTTTTTGATATGATTTCACTTCTGAACAATTTTTTCTTAATAAGCACTGGCATGTAGCGGCCCTGATATCGCTAAATTCTACACGCAATATAACCCGATTTTACATGCTTGGTTAAAACTTTACACGAAAAAGCTTCGATATCCGGGCATTTACTCTTACACTGAACTGAAAATAGCATCGTCTAAACGTGTATGTGTTGGTTTCCGGGTAAGTTTTTCAACATTTATACTCAATTGAAAGAGCAGTCGTGCTTATATCGTGTACCAGTTTGATTTATTTATATGTGTGTATATTTATAATATGATAGCCTAGTAATACCGTGTCGTTAGAACAACTGCTAGATATCGACCTGAAATTACATTATTGGACTGATCGCGCATCTGATATTAAATGATTAATTTGCATTGGATCTGATATTAACTTGCAACCCAATACCATGACTTTACATTTGAATGATAACAGGGTCTCATTTTCTAATTCATTATACGTCCATTGCAGGCCAAAAATGTTTCAATGTGGATATTGTAATGCACACGAGAATACATTCAATTCGTATATTGATCATACATCAATTGAACATGGAGATTTTTATGTACACTTTTCCCCAAACCTGCCTGTGGAATAGACAAGATGCGAGGAGAAATTATCTTGATTTACGTCATCAAATATTCAAAATTCATTTTTTGAAAAAATTCGAAACCATCAAATATCACTTTTCAAACCATCGAATATCACTTTTTAAGACGTGATATTCGATAGTTTAAAAGTGATATTCGATGGTTTGTAAATTGTTTGCTAAAATATGATATCTTGATCCACATATCAAATATATCATCATGTGATATTCAATCTATATCATTGCAACCATGGGATAAAGCTTTACGTCCCGCTCCGAGCGGGCAGATATAGTATATCTGCCCGCTACGTCATAATCGCCGCTCGCATATTTGTTCATAATTTGTAACGTTCGCGGAATGACTGTAAACGGCAATGGAGAAAACACAGACAATCGGGGTCTGTTTGATGGTTAAAAAAGGAAAGGAGCATCCACTTAATCAATAAAAAATTCGAGAAAATAAATATGGGAATATTTGAGAGAACATGAAAATCAGCCCACGGCAAAGAAAACAAAACTGGACATGAATATTCTTAAATATTTCCACGATTTAACAATGTGAACCAGATGACCAAGATTGGTATGGGATAAACATATTATTGGGATTATCCCTTGGACAATATATAGGGGTTATGCACTGGGAGGTTTTGGATACAGGGAATATCCCGAGGGATATACAATATATCTTCCCGAGGGACCAAGGGAATATGTATTGTATATCCCAAGGGACATACGAAAACTATTTGTCTGATATGGAATATATTCCCGGTTGATATGCCCCTGAAACCTCATCAGGTATGGAATACATAAGGGTTATGTACAAGGAGGTTTTGGATATGGGGTTTATAAAGATGGAGATATGCATATTTACCTAAGGGACCGTAGGGACCGAATGTAGATGTGCATATCTCACGAGGGATGAATCCCATATCTAAACTGACCGTACATAACTTCTTTATCCTATACCAAGTAGAGTTTTCAAGGGCATATTTCAATTGTACAAGGTGTAAAAATAAACAAATCATTTATATGCAAAATCATTTTATTGCATTACCGAAAGCGGGAAGATATGCACCGGGAGCGGGAAGATATGCACCGAAGCGGAAGATATGGCGGGAGATATGGAGGTTCTGGATATCAGGATACGGGATATATCTTACCAACTTATCTCCCTAAAACTCTACTTGGCATATGATAAATATAGGTTATTTACTGGGAGGGATTGAATATGGGTTTTATTCCGAGGGACAATATGATATTGACTGAAGGGTAATATAATATTGACCGAGGGAGCGCAGCAACCGAGTGTCAATATCATATTGCCCAAGGTCAATATCATATTTTCCGAGGAATAAAACCCATATTCAATCCTGACCAGAAATAACCTATTTATTCCATCTAGAATGTTACATTTGGATAATGCAAACGTTATATTAATAATTGCACATTGTTTGAAAAATAAAATAAATAAATAAAATAACCAGGAAACCCAAAAATAGGTCAATACGCTCCAAAACGATTTTTCACGGGGACAATACGACTTTTTCATCTAATACGCTCCAATACGATTTTTCCCGGGGACAATACGATTTTTCATGTAATACGATTCAATACGATTTTAATTCCTTCATATTTCCCTGGGAAAAAGTAGTATTATGGAATAACTAGAGGACATCCTATGATTTATGAGTGATATGATTTTTATTCATGAATGGATATGATATCTGCACGAGCGAGCGTAGCGAGAGAGTGGAGATATTAATATCCATGACTGGATTAAAATCATATCACGAGTAAATATATATCATATCATATCATATCACGAGCATGATATACATAGGATAACATGTGAAAATAAAAACGGTATTTTTGTAATCAGTGGTAAAATATGATATTTTTGACAAATTTTCACTTAACCATAGCATACGGTTTTTTAGCCATGACATACGACGTCGTATGCGATGGTTTATGGATTTTTGCTACTTCAGACTCAAAACGAGGCTAAGTGTCAACATCGCCGGATCGTTTGGAAAATTCGAATTAAATGACTCAATTTCCGAAGATTCTGATGATGACTTTAACTATGGAATAAAAAGGACATCCTATGATTTACTCGTGATATGATTTTTATCCACTCATGGTTATTGAAATCTGCACACTCTCTCGCTACGCTCGCTCGTGCAGATATCATATCCATTCGTGGATAAAAATCATTATCACTCATAAATCATAGGATATCCTCTATATCTACCTGATGGACCATACCGAATGTAGTATAAGTTATTCAATGGTTCGAGTGAAATACAGAAAATATTCTTTTCCCGAGAAGGTTGTATTGCACGATGCGCTAGCAGAGTTCAAGGGAAGAATATTTTCTGTAGTTCACGAGAAATCATTGAATAACGTTTTTATTCCATGATTACCCATATAGAACTCGCCTAAATCAAGTCCCTTGGCTTGGGGCCGGAGAAACATAGTCATATAAATCCGACCATCGTATGCTTTATTTGTCATTATCTTTTGATAATTTGGATATTTATTTATTGTTATTTTCTTGCATACTAGGGTCGTACACACTTGCCGGTTCTAAATTGAGGGAAATGCTTTCCTGGCCTGTTTAGGCAACCGAAATCACACAAATTATGTATTAGAATATGCTCTTCATCGATAATGTATTTAATCTTACCATACACACGTCAAACGCTTGATAATTGAGGAAGTATAAGAATTTTTCTGGAATTTTTTTTTCTCCATGTGTAGATGCATTCTGGGTAATGATTGTGTAAAAGTAAAAGTCTAGGTGAAACGAAAAACGAAATTACAATAAATAACGGCAGCCATATTGAGATCGAGATTTCAACTCGAAAAAGTTTATCATCGTCTCAAATCGTCTCAAATATGAGAAAAGTGAGTTGTACAGGGGGAGGGAGGCGTCTTATGGCAATTGAATCGCCTTCTCAGACACCAAGGAGGGTGAAGAAACCGAAAACAGATATGTTGGTAATAAATAATTACGATTTCGTTTTGGTTGCATGGTTTCACATTTAGAATGTATTCAGTGACCTTGAGTGACCTTGAGTGACCTTGAGAGCCATATTGGAAATAGTTTCAAACATATACGAAAATGATTACATTTCTTCAATTATCAAGTGTTTCCTGTGTTTAAGGTAAGAGTTAATACATTCTAGTCGAAGCATTGTATCTATTATCTTATCTGTGTAACTTTGGTTGGCCATAGAGGGCAGAAAAGCGTTTACCGCAATATACTGAACCTAATATCCTCGACGCAAATGTTGAAAACAAAAATAAAATAACAAATATCCAAATCATCAAAAAGAACGTGAAACAACAACATTAAGTCGAGTTCACTTGACTAGAGAAACAGATCAAATTTCTCACCTCAGAGATATTTTACATCGATATTCCTTCAAAATCTTTATGGCCTTGTTGTTTTTTCTTCAATTTCATCAGCTGGAAGCGAAACGTTTTTTCGACTTTCGTCTGCCATATTGGATTTTAAAATATTTTATCCTAAAATTATAAATTGTGATGATCACCGTGTCATTTCCTGATATTCAAATCAGATATTTCTAGCAAAATGCAAATATTAGCATGCGTTGGTGTTAACTGATCACCATTGATTTTTTTCAGTAATCGTCATATCCTGGATGGAAATCTGGGGCGTTGGCATACTAGACCGTATCCCAACGCTGACGTCATTTTCACTCTGTATCCAACGCTTAGTGGAATGTGCGTGTAAATACAGGATACATTTAAGTCACGTGCACCAATCAGATTGCAGGGAATTTCACCATCATGGAATAAACGTGCATATCTCACGAGGGATAAACCCCATATCCAAACCGACCGCACATATCTGCTTTATCATATACCAAATAGTTTTCTAAATAATTAATCTTATTTCCTTTTTTGAATTTTTTACATTTTTTATTTTTATTCTCTAACCTACTTGTCAAAGGATAAGGGACGATAAATATATATATATATATAGTTTAGCATGATATGTACTTCTTTCTGGAACTGGAATACGATTATAATATACAAGCAACACATACGTATTCCCGGGGAACCATGAATCTTTTGTGTAGGGTGTGGACATTTTTCTTTTCATTTCTCTAAAATCAGATTATTCTCATAAAATCCATACAAAGTTGGGCCTAAGCCTCTATTTTCGTATGCTGCATGTTAAGATATTTGTAATGTAAAACCTAAGAGATAAATTCAATGTCTTCAGTTGAGAATAAGTATAAGGTAAATGTGTGAATTCTGCTTGTTGTTGCACTATTTTTTATAATAAACAAGGTTCGATACGCAACACTGAATAGACTGCAGTCATAGCTTAGTTGTAAAGAAAACAAAAGAAGTTGGGACGTGGTCATGCTTGATTATGTTTCTTTTATATATCACCGTTTGCATTCGTTGAAATCGGCCTGCATTGATTTCAAGAGGTGGTCGGTGTACAAGGTCATATGTTTGAGTTAAATTGGTTAAATGATAAATGTGAATGCGCTATGCTTTATGTATGCTTTATGTATGCGTGAAACAAATACTCCAATGGCCTAATCTCAATTTGCCTACAAACAATATAACATTGACATGATGGTCATCTGTATATTAACTTCCGCACCACACGTCTAACTTCGACACAATTCAGTAAAGTAATCCAGTATCGCTATAATCGCTACATGCCAGTGAATAAGGAACTGAGTAAATGTAAGGGGTTCATGATAAACCAATTATATTAGTTCTCCAATATGTGGTCGTCGCAGACATTGATATCGGATAATTCAATTATGTTGTTTTCGGATTATCCTGATATGAGTTCATTTTCGGAACACAATGTTTTCCAACAAGATGGGGCTCCAAGCAATATATCCCACAGAAGTGTCAAATGGTCGAAAGAAAATTGGCCGAGTTTCAACACCCGTTAATCACTGCCTCTCCAGATCAGCCGATGACCTGACATCTGCGACAATCACGTATGAGGAGAACTAACAGAATTAGTGTATCGTAAATCCTTTAGATCTATTCAGTCCCTGAAGGACAGAATTATTGAGAAGTGAAATTTATTGTGTCAAAAGCATATCAGTGATGCTATTGTCCAGTTTAGGTCAAAATTGAGGGATACAATTTATCAAAATGGTGGACATATTGAACGTCTGTTTATTTAAATATAGTTGACAATAAAACTTCGTTTTGAAGGTTGTGGAAAATCTGTTTTAAAATGAAAATGACATTATTTATATTATGGACGCTGGTTGACAGACATTATAATAAAGGACTAGTATTAAGATGGCAAGATATTTTGGACAGCTGTATTTTTGGTCATGGGTATTTCCCGACCATACAATGAACATTTTATATTAAAACAATATCTTGACTTCAACAAAAGTGCATGAAAAAAATAAAAATCTCAATTAAATAATGATATTAGCCATGGATTAGTAATCCATCTCCTCACTTTTTCAATAATGTTGACCTTATGTTGAAAAAGAGGACCTTCATTTTCAAAGTTTCTGTGCAAAATTAGATTGCAACATTAGTTATCAGTAATCTCATATATAGGAAAATTGGATTGAATTCCTAGTTTTTTAAAGAATTTTGGTCTCTCTCTCCAAGAAATACTGAAATAATTGCTATGTGATGTTTATAATATACTCAACACAAATAGATGGCAACACAGTGTCATAATATCTGGTGTTATATTTGGAACTCATGTTTTGTACTCATAGTGTCAGCTACTGAATGCAGTTTATTCATACAGGATTATATGGCATTGTGACTTGCAAACACTTGAGTAGTATTATGTCCAACAGCATGTATATAGAAGGTATAAGAAAACGTTTGAAGGATACATGCTGATAAACGTCATGCTCATAGTAATTTGAGTAATGGCTGATGTTTGAATGTATTTTTTTTCTCCAGCTCTTCACATTGCCTTGACATTATACCCTTTATGTAACCCAATCCCAAAAGAGGGGTGTATAAATTCAAGAATCTGGCAAACTTCATTACACTTTCATTTGGTTGGGATATAGCGAGGTTTTTATTACTCCAGGCTTATTCCATATGATTATATAAATATGGTGAGGTAGAATTGCTAATTATAAATTCCATTCAAAATGGTTTAGTACAAAACATGGCACAGTGTCATGGCACAGGTACACCCTATGGCATAGGCTACGGCACCCCCTATGCCATACTGTAGGTACTAAAACACTATTTCGAGTCAAATTCTTGCATATTTATGTAGATTATGATTACCCTTACAAATGTCTACCCTTCCAAACATTGTTCTTGAGCCTCTTACTAAAGTTATATTATCTTTCTTGGCATAGTTTGCCATGTATGAACATTTGTAAATCTGAATCAAGTTACAGACGTATGTAGTACGTACTCAAGGACCCATTCTCTCTTTGCCAAAAACAAAACATTAGTAAGAGGATCAAGAACAAAAATAATCGAAATAAATCTGAATTAGTATTCAAGAGCCAATGACACAGGGGTGCCATAGAGTATGCCATAGCTTAGTGCCATGTTTTGTACTAATCACATTTTATCAGTTTTTCTATTCTTATTTTCTAATCAAAATACGGGTGTTTGTGATTCATTTCTGTAAATGTTAAGAATATAAATTGAAACGATACACAATTAGATGAAACGATGTAAGAGGCGAAGATACAGGGCGAGCCAATAAAGGTAACCAAAAAATGTTTGTTAATAACTCAGTCATTCAGTATGGGTTTAAAATCATATTTGGCACAATTAATTAAACCTTATACAATTTCAGTTCATTATACATTTAATTCTCAATTATACTGCATTTAAAAGTTACATAATGTCAATGCCTTGCGCAATGTGCATTAAAGGCTAGCGTTTTGAAATGAATATAGATCAAATTAATTAACTCATTGAGTGAGTTATACTTACAAATGTCCCACTGGTTGCCTACACTCAATTGTGAAAAGTAAATCAGAATAAATTGGGTTAAAATCTTGGTCAATGTTCTTTCGTTCTACTAAGTGTCATTGGTTTATTATGTCACCACCAAAAAGTGGTGACATTTTGTTATGGTCTCCCTTTTTTGCGACGGCGGTTGGCGTCAATTTCTTAAAACTTCCTATAACTTAACAAATACTGTTTAGACTGACTTAAATTTTTTTCTAAATCATCCACATCTTCTCAGAAGTTCAAATCTGACTTTAGATTTGACATTTGACCTTCAATGACCTTCTCAAGGTCAAAAAGGTCTTTTTTCAACTTGCTTCACATTGACTATTTTTTTTCAAAATCATCTACATGTTCTCAGAAATTCAAATCTGACTTTAGATTTGACATTTGACCTTCAAATCTGACTCTAGATTTGACATTTGACCTTCAATGACCTTCTCAAGGTCAAAAAGGTCAAAAAGGTCTGTTTTCAACTTGCTTCAAATTGACTGAATTTTTTTTTCAAAATCATCTACGTGTTCTCAGAAATTCAAATCTGACTTAAGATTTGACATTTGACCTTCAATGACCTTCTCAAGGTCAAAAAGGTAAAAAAGGTCTGTTTTCAACTTGTTTCTAATTGATTAAAAAATTTTTTCAAAATCATCTACGTTATCTCAGAAATTCAAATCTGACTTTAGACTTGACATTTGACCTTCAAATCTGAGTTTAGATTTGATATTTGACCTTCAATGACCTTCTCAAGGTAAAAAAGGTCAAAAAGGTCTGTTTTCAACTTGCTTCAAATTGTCTAAAATTTTTTTTAAAATCATCTACGTGTTCTCAGAAATTCAAATCTGACTTAAGATTTGACATTTGACCTTCAATGACCTTCTCAAGGTTAAAAAAGGTCAAAAAGGTCTGTTTTCAACTTGCTTCAAATTGACTAAAAAAATTTGCAAAATCATCTACGTGTTCTCAGAAATTCAAATCTGACTTTAGATTTGACTTAAGATTTGACATTTGACCTTCAATGACCTTTTCAAAGTCAAAAAAGGTCAAAAAGGTCTTTTTTCAACTTGCTTCAAATTGACTAAATTTTTTTTTCAAATTCATCTACATGTTCTCAGAAATTTAAATCTGACTTTAGATTTAACATTTGACCTTCAATGACCTTCTCAATGTCAAAACATTGGCTTCAAATTGACTAAAAATTTTTTCAAAATCATCTACGTGTTCTCAGAAATTCAAATCTGACTTTAGATTTGACTTAAGATTTGACATCTGACCTTCAATGACCTTCTCAAAGTCAAAAAGGTCAAAAAAGGTATTTTTTCATCTTGCTTCAAATTGACTAATTTTTTTTTCAAAATCATCTACATGTTCTCAGAAATTAAAATATGACTTTAGATTTGACTTTAGATTTGACATTCGACCTTCTCAAGGTCAAAAAATGTCAAAAAGGTCTTTTTGCTTGCTTCAAATTGACTAATTTTTTTTCAAAATCATCTACATGTTCTCAGAAATTCAAATCTGACTTTAGATTTGACATTTGACCTTTAATGACCTTCTCAAGGTCAAAAATGGTCAAAAAGGTCTGTTTTCAACTTGCTTCAAATTGACCAATTTTTTTTCAAAATCATCTACATCTTTTCAGAAGTTCAAATTTGACTTTACAAGTTCTCAGAAGTTCAAATCTGACTTTAGATTTGACCTTTGACCTTCAATAACCTTCTCAAGGTCAAAAGGTCTTTTTTCAACTTGCTTCAAATTGACTAAATTTTTTTTCAAAATCATCCACATGTTCTCAGAAGTTCTTCTTAAAGTGTGCGCCAAAGTTTAAAACTGCGCAGGCGCACCGCTCTCGCTAAACTATATAAAGAGATCACCGGGTACACGATTCAGAGGTAAGCCAGGAAGGCGAACGATCTTCGTCTCGTGATGATTTCCCATATAAAAGTAACCAGGGAAGTTTCACCATTGAAATTGAAAATTACTATTAGATATACTTTGTAGATGTTATTTATGAAGCTATTTAGTGTTTGCATCAATCAAATGGCTCATTTTGAACATATAAAAAGTATTTGTGTTTTGTTTCCCAGGGAATTGTATTGTATGTAGTACACACATAAATAGTGTACATTATACAGTACTTGAATAGCCTGGTTTACATAATATTGAAGGGCATGCTGATTACATGCACACGAGTACATGAATGAAGGCCTAATATTGATATACGTAGCTTGCATACCTAAATATAAAATAAACTCTTCTAATCCCCTAATGTAAACACGGCGGTATACGTAGCCCGATTTATCGGGGACTTTAAGGTCAAAAGGTATTTTCCAACTTGCTTTAAATTGACCAAATTGTTTTAGGTGGTGACATTTTGTCATGTTAATGCCTTGTCTATAGTAGTTACGATTTCATGGTTATTTACAAAACATGGTCAAAATGCCGAAATGTGTCTCACTGACTGGACATAAATCCCACCAGAGTTTTATCTTTGGGCTTATTTTCTACACTAACATCCCTTGAAACATAGAAACAAGAGATAAGAAGGAAGATAAGAGCCATAACACATGATGTTTATGAGCGTGTTGTGTACAACTAAGCCCAAAACGTTCAAGTTGGTCTTCAAACATGAATCCCATATTTTGTGGCATGTTTTCTTAAATAGCCATAACATTTCAACCACTAGAGATAGACCATTAAAACTTGGTAGAACTAGAATTAAATATATTGGACAAGGCCTTATTGTGCCAAATGTGACACTAAACCTGATTTATTAATATTTGTTAGGGTTACCTTTTTTGGCTCACGCTGTACATACAATATACAATTATCAGCAACATAACAAGGTCAATGATTATCTCAATGTACCATACCATACATGTCAAATACTTTTGTGAAGTATATTGAAAAGTAAAACAACGGAAATAAGGAATATTCTCCTTATTTCTGTGAGACTTTAGTAAGTGTATATATTTGCCAGTGGAGTCTCAGTACTACAAAATCTTACGAGTCTTTAAAACGTCAATAGGACAACAGAATCACATACTCGTAAAATTCAATGGTTCATTTTATTTTTCATTGGTATCTAATGAGACTCAATTGAACGTTCCCCAGAGTAGCTCTTGTGGTATTGCAATGTCAGAATAGCTCTTTTGATATTACAATGTAGAGAAATTCATGTGGTATTGCAATGTCAGAGTAACAAATGTGGTATTGTAATGTCAGATTAGCACATGTGGTATTGTCAGAGACTGAAAAATGGATTACAAATTGTGGAACTGTTACCAAAATCAGTTTCATAATCCATCCCCTTTTCATACATTTTCACATTCATACATAGCTTTACTGTACATCAGTTTTTCATAGGTCCAGTATAAGTCAGTCAATGTTATTATATTCATGCCTCATTGGATACTCTGGTATTGAATTAAATCCCCTCACATAAATAATGGATTATATTGGTTTCTCATGACCTAGCAAACTGTCATGCATTCATTAGCTGTCAACACATACATACATTAACAAATGTTCCTTCATTAATGCATCGATTTTCTCAAAGATGGCAGATGGGTAAACAGAACTTTCAAAGATGGACAGGGTGAACTCCATAACATGGGATTTCCCATTGGATAATCCTCATTCCCATGTAACTTTCATATTAACTTTTCAATCCATATGCCCTTATATGAAGTGAATGCTACCTTACAGTGTAATCTTATATTGCAAAAAAATATGAAAAATCATGGTCGTCCTTTTCAGTAATAAGGTCAATATTATTGAAGGTGCCTTACTAATCCATGGCTAATCTCATTTAAATAAGATTAAGATTAAAATGAGATTTTTATTTTTTTCATGCACATTTGTTGAATTAAAATTCAACACGTTTGAAATTAGAGTTGAATTATTTTATTTCCGGTTGATATAACATCGTAACGTTAGTGAAATCGAACGCGATTTCAACTGATTGGATAACATGATGTGATCATGAGTAGATTATGTGAGTAGATGCACGATGGGATCGTGTTATTCTGCGAGCAGCAACCTAAGCGTTTATACACAGTTTTAGCTAGATGCGACTATTATGGGTGCATTCGGTTTTTATCATTTTTAGCCCTTGTTATATGCATATATTGATACCTATACACGATGAACAGAGGATGCATATATTGCAATACCGTCAATGTGTTTCTACATTGGGATTGGTACTCGTCTTACATGCAGTAAGAAAACCTGCGATTTGGCAAGGGTAAGAAGTAGTTTATATTGAAACAAGTAATGTTTTGCAATTTCGTAAAGTGTTCCTCAGATAGAAAAGATTGTTGATTGGTTAGAGTAATCGACCACATATCAAAATGCTCTGCATAAACGATTGAAACGATATTATACATGTAAACCCGAAAAGTGACCATGTAATCGTTTGAGTTTCAGTAACATCGAACGATGCGACGTTACCCGAGAGGTTCGCTGGTTCATGAGAAGAAGTCAACGCTAAGGACCAATGTTTGGATTGCGAGAACGCTAAACAAAGAGGGTTCAGCTATCGCAATGAATAAGATAAGTAATTGTTATACAGATTTGCTTAGCATATCAAATATCCTTTTTATTAATGTAAGGATAGAGGGTTTGTAAGTTTTGCAAAAAACATTTAGATTAGTCACAGGTGCAAGAGCACTAAACAGTAAAGATTGCAAGATCAATCGTTCAGTCATGGGCAAGACGTCACACTGCTACAGACGTTGGATGTTTGTAACTTGACTGTCAAAATATTCATGTTTTTGAAATTGTTTCAGATATTTAGGTCACTACGCAAACGGGTACGTTTTCCGAAGATTTACAAAGACTGCATTTTATGTGTTATAGGGAGATGGAATCCTTACAAACATCCTATTTAGATTTGGCAGCTTTTAAACCAGAGTTACGGTTTTAGGCTTGTTGATTTGTTTCAGACATGGTATTTGCAAGGTGCAAATATGCTCCCTCGGTTCAGCAAAAAGCAGTGTTGGGCAAAGATTTTAAAATGTTATTTTGTAGCAAACGTTTTTCAAATGAACTGTTATGTTGCGCATATACAGAGATAGATATTACATTATAGTTTTTGTATAAACTAATAAAGTTGTGCAACGTAAGCATTTCAATTTTGTAAGTCATGACAGACAACTAACGAGTTGTGTTACTCAGGAGTCATTGAATTGTTAAATGTCGTTGTTTGGTAATCTATATTTGTATAGTATTTAAGTTATAAGCTTATGACATTATTGCAGTTAATCGCTACCAGGAGGGTCGGATTCATACTTACACCTTGGATACTTCATATTCTGCAAATGAAATTGTACACTTTCATAACTTTTATTATCAAGAGGATGTTTGGATTAGACAGATTCTTTATGAATTTTTGTAGGCTATATGTTATCGCAAACATGTTTGTTTGCTACTCACAACATTGATTCATATTTAGAAATGATCAAAATGCCATTAAGGGGTTCTGAGAGTAATCATAAAGAACGTTTTGGTTGGGAAATGTCGTGAATCGTTACCAGGAGGGTAGGGTTCAGGCATATCTTTTTAGATACTGAATATCCCTACAAAAACAAATTGTATCCTGTATAAGTTTCTATATTCAGAACTTTTCGTCTTCATAGACAAGTTGGTAAATTATGAGAATATTGTATTTGACTGATTCAGTTAAATAAACTGTTTGATCAAATGAGTTCTAAGAGTAGTCGTATTCAGGCTCAAACAGCTTATGTTGATAGATGCAAAAAGGTTACTAGTATATTTTTAATTTACATGTTTATAAATAGCTCTTTTAGCTTAAAATGTCGTGGATCGATATTGTTGAATACTGGTCATGTAAAATAGAAGTGAAATCCTATAAAACTGCATTGTGTAATATCAGCATTTTAGGTTTTCTGATAGGGTGTTTATACCAACAGTTCGGTCTAGTTTCTCTGTTTATAACATTGATAAAGAAGATGGTTATCTTTGAAGGTATGTTGTGAATCGATACACGGGTAGTCGGATTCAGACATATGCTTGGTACGCATACTTTACAATAGTTGTATTTGCTTACTTTTCATCTTTAACACTCTTGTTTTCGATTTGTTTGAAAATCGATACTTTTCTAAGGCGAGTTGAAGATTTTGAATAGATACTTTAAGTAGTCTGATTAGCCAGGTGAATTGAATTCCCTAATATAATCATTTAGCTTTAAAACCTGGATCGAGTTTATATAAGATTGACTATTCTTTAGAAGATAGTTGAATTGTCTTGATTAGAGACCGGGGGTAGTCGGATTTGGACATTTACTTTGGTTACATTGTTAGTTAAATGCACGATTATTGCATGTTGAATAAATTCTAGAAGATTAAATGAAAAATTGGGGAGTTGCTCCATACTTGATACATTTTGAAATAAGCGTGAGCTTAGTGTGTCGATTCCTGGTCCAAATGATAATTGTACATTTTTAGAGTTTACTGTATATAGCATAGAGAAATCTATATACGATAGACAAATGGTTTGAGAAGATACATTGGATATTTGTATTCAGGTATGTTCTCTGGATTATCCATGTTTTTGCAAACATTGATGTTTAATATTTATTAATGCATATGATTTTGGTTGAAATTGAGCAGGTTATTTGAAAGATGATAAAATCTATTTTGGAATAGTTTAGTTCAAGCGATTGTGTTGGTTGGTGAATTGATTTTTGAAGTTGTCAATCCAGATAGACTACTTGATTGTTATGTTTAACCTGCAACAACAAGAAATGCACTTAGTAAAATTACGTAATGGAACTCTGACTTAGGATTGTTATTATGTTTGGCATTATAGCCATTACGTTGAGTAGTTCTTCTGTTGAATAAGAATTGTTGTCATGTTTGACATTATAGCCATGACGTCGAATAGTAGTTAATATGGTTTTAAGATGATAGTTGTGTTCCTAGCAACATTTACAATATTAGCGTAACAAACACATTAGAGAAGTGTTCGTCAGCTAATTGCATTCTATATTGAACGTGTTTGGCATTACGTTGAGCAGTTGTTCTGTTAAAGTTCAGTTGACATTCCGACATGAAAATTGTTATCACGTTTGGCATTATTACCAGTATGTCGAATAGTTGTTCTGTTGAAGTACAGTTGGAACTCCGACATAAAATATGTTATCATGTTTGGCATAATTACCAGTACGTCGAATAGTTGTTCTGTTGAAGTACAGTTGGAACTCCGACGAAAAATTGTTGTCATGTTTGGCATTATTACCAGTACGTCGAAGAGTTGTTCTGTTGAAGTACAGTTGGACTCCGACGTAAAGAATGTTATCATGTTTGGCATCATAGCCATTACGTCGAGCAGTTGTTCTGATGCAGTACAGTTCGAACTCTGACGTAAAAGACTTTAAGTCTACTTGTATCGTGGGTTGACGGATTCGTATAATGCGTCGAACGCAGGTACAATTTAGCAACCTCAAAAAGGGGTTAGTCGCTTGGAGCGACAATGCGATATTTACATGTTTTTAATGCTATTTCTGTGTAATTTCAGGAAATACAACCCATAGTAGGGTATGGACACACGCCTAAATGAACATTGGAACACAAGTTGTCCTTATAAGATAGATACAAGTGTGATATAAATAAGATGCTTTGGACTGATTCAAAGAAGACTACTTTGTTGGATTGAGATCCATATAAGATAGATACAAGAAATACAACCAATAGTAAGGTATGGACACAAGCCTATGTGAACACTGGGACACATTTTGTCCATATAAGATAGATACAAGCGTGATATAGATTAGATGCTTTGAGCTGATTAAAAGAAGACTACTTTGTTGGATTGAGATCCATATAAGACAGATACATGTACGTGTGATACAGATACGATGCCTTGGACTGATTCAAGGAAGACTACCTTTGTTGGAAGTCTCAAAGAAGAGACATTTCGAGCTTTGGTCACTAGTTTGCCCGTTTTTTAGAAGGTTCTGGCGTAGCTGCTGGCTCCAATTTAATCCTATAATATATGTGATATTATGTTGTGTGGTTTGTGGTGAAGACTGTTTAATTAGGAAATAATTAAAATTCAACACGTTTGAAATTAGAGTTGAATTATTTTATTTCCGGTTGATATAACATCGTAACGTTAGTGAAATCGAACGCGATTTCAACTGATTGGATAACATGATGTGATCATGAGTAGATTATGTGAGTAGATGCACGATGGGATCGTGTTATTCTGCGAGCAGCAACCTAAGCGTTTATACACAGTTTTAGTTTATGTTGTAAGTTGTCATACAACGGATTCGAAAATTTAGTTTTATTGTTCGAGGAGGCATACCTTTTTCCCTTTCAAAGTCACAAAGATTTTGATCTGGGTTTTAACGGTGTCAGGTCGATAAACTAACGTTTTTCATATTGAAGTTAGTGAACACTTTCTTGTAAGTGCTTTTGACCAAATCAACGTTTTTGAATTAAGTATATGTGTTCTGACGTTGAGGTAACCTGTTCCCATTTATTACTATCTTGGGAAGTATATTTTTCTGCAATTATTACAATGCATTGCCAAATATAGGATGTTAATTAAAACAATTAGATATTAGGTTTCTTAGAAGCAATTATGTAATTTGCATATAAATCTGAATCTCAAGGCATGGTTTAATTTTTACTGACAGCGCATTGTATCTTAGCGAATAAACATGTATTTAAGTGAGTTTCCGTCATATTGTTTCGAGGAAGGCACAAAGTTTAGCTTTTTAAGATATTGATTATATTCGAAAATCCTTTATATTTTTAGATATGTAATATCTATTCCCAGAAGGGCATCAAGTCTTGGTATTTTAAGATGATAGTTGTGTTCATCGACAACATTTTACAGTAGTTGTTTTATATTAATGTGACAAACACATTAAGAGAAGTGCTTGTCAGCTAATTGCATTTGATATTAAACAGTTCTTATAGTATTTAGATTTTACAACGTTTCCAAGAGTTGTACTTTTGCTTTTGTTGCAATACGAGACCAGTTGGTATAAGGGTTTGCAAAGCATGGTGCTTTCCAGATTTTATATTTTTCATCACAATAGTTTCGAAGATCGTAGGATTTTCGTATACGTTCGTTCGTGTATTCTTGTGATAATCACGGAATTTTTGTCTATTGTGACCAACAATGTCGCATATTACGACAGTCTGTTAAAGAAGTAATTTTCATTAACTTTCTAAGTTACGTTTTTTTGCCAAGAGGCAATGATATGGTTACAGTACAAGTCTGTAGACAGTTATTTAGATTATTGTTAATATGTATTAATGACAGTTTGTGATTACTGTATTAGATAGTGAGGTATATTACTCACAGATTTTGCATAGTGCTAGAAGGCACTATATACGTGTATGGTCATTATACAAGTTTTTTTATAGTGCAAGTTGACAGATACAGTCACAATTTAGAATTTGGTTTATTCCGAAATTTGTGAATTTATTTGAGATCTTTGACGTGTTAACAAACGTGTAGCCACAATGGCTTTAATGACAGATGATCATTGGATATGGGTTGTTGGATTTAGATGTTTTAATTAGGTATAGGGTGCTTTATTGATGTCTTGAAGGCAGTTAACATTGTAAATCAGCAGCGAGGTTGAGAGCCGAGGACGGATGTTGGGTATATTTGAACCTAAGGGGTTTCTGGCATTAATGCCATCGGCATCGTGGCCGCTATGACATTGGCATCGTGGCCGTCATAGGTACCTGGATGCATTGCGAACTGGCTTCATTTTTTCATTTTTTCACTCCTTCTTTGTACCAAATGTACTTAACGCTTTTCCAATAAACGTGGGCTGCTGGCTCCAATTTAATCCTATAATATATGTGATATTATGTTGTGTGGTTTGTGGTGAAGACTGTTTAATTAGGAAATAAGTCAAGATATTGTTTTGATATAAAATGTTCATTGTATGGTCTGGAAATACCCATGACTAAAAATACAGCTGGCCAAAATCTCTTGCCATCTTAATACTAGTCCTTTGAACTTATGATATACCAAATTTAAGATGAGTTAATTCTCTATCCATTGGTATATAATATGACATGTTTTCATTAAAAAAGTCAATTTTTATATTTGAAATACGAGCAACCCACCTTTTGACCATCCTGTAAAAATAAGATTTTTGCGTGGCTATTATTAAACAAATACTGGGTGACCATGAGGTGGATATGCCAAAATACCTATCCGAGGAAATTTTTTTTCGAGGTTAGGTATTCTGGCATATCCACCTCATGGTCATCCAGTATTTATTTTATTATATACCTCCCTTGGTCAATATAATATTCATACCATTAATTTACTGTAGTTAAATGAAAAATGGTGTTAAATTTTCACGAACTACTTTATTTTAAAGAATGGGTCTACGTAACAGAAGCTGGGGCTATTAATTTTTTTCGAGGATAGGTATTCTGACATACGGGATGGTTGGAGAACTCGTTGCTTCAATAATGGATAGAACGAGATCTTGCTACACGTAGGGCAATAGACCCTGTAGCTCTTAACCAGTCAGATTTGGCTATTTTAATGAGGTGCATAATTATATCTTATACAATATTATACTTTGCAACATAGAACAAGCAACATTTCTCATAAGCCAGTCCGAGCAATTTTAAAGATTTTTTTCTTCCTCTTAATTATATACTTTTGCAGATTGTCCAAGTGGTTGGGTTGAATATGGAGCTTTCTGCTATGAGGTAAAACCCGATTAAGTCAAAAAGAAAGCAATCGATACAATCATTAAATTTTGATTTCTCAAACAGTTTGAAATTACTAACAATATAAGTTTGTATAATTATTGTGTTGAATTTAATTTCAGTTCAATAATCGAATCTGGAGTGAGCAGAAGACTTTTGTAGAAGCCCGTGACGACTGTTTACAAAAGAATGCTGATTTGGTCAGTATATCGACCGAAGATGAGCAGACATTCATATTTGGAAACATACAGGGGTGAGTAGGAATAAAATCTCTCTAAAGCCATAAATAGTTAAAAGGTGCAACTTAACCCTAATGTGGATTGGGAGGGGTCGGATTTTCCCCCGTAATTGTAGTAGCTATAGCTGAAGATAAAAAACACGTTTGCTGCAAATATTGAGGTGATGGGAGGTGTACAGTGGTTGAGTTAAGATGTTGACTAATTCTATGTTTTCATCAGATGGTTTGTTTCAATACTATCAAGAATAAGCTAGGTCGATAGACTTACAAAATATAGCCTTCGATTTAACAAAATCTGTCGATTTTTAACCAGATCTTGTGGAAAACAGCTGTTGCAGGAGCGTGCTGTTGTTGGTAGCGTTCTACCTGTGAATATTGTATGTTGTTTTGAATTTGTCTTATTCTTTGGGGATTACAAGTGCGCCACCCTCGGGAGTTTTGAATGACCTATAACATGGTACCTTAGTTTTACTGTACTTGTACTTCTTCAACTCTGAAGACGCCACGGGGCATCTGTCCTCCTATACATTAGTGTTATAAAAATACGTTGTCCACATTAGGGTTAAACCACAATAAGGCAATCTATTAGGCCAGTCTACAGCAAGCATTTTGGGAAGTCCGAGGGCCACACTTTTTTTAAATCAACCAAAAATTCCTTTGTATAACTTTAATTTTGAGAGGTCTAAAAACATGTTGTACATGCAATTTTGTTCCAATAAGGTTCGGAAAGACATTTTATTTCATTCTCAAGAATTAATAGAAAGGAGCAAAAACGATTGCACTGAAAAAAAACAAAAAATGTTAACAAAAACAGTTATATAAAATATTTCTAAATAATTTTCGCATTAAATTGTTGTCAATCAGTCAACATTACATAAAATACCGTGTTTTTTACAATTCAATGATTGGTTTAAGAGATAAACATTGTTGGATTCAGTTCTCCATATCGATACCACTCCTTTTTTAAATAAAAACAAGAATTTAACATGAATAAATGACCGTTTAGACAGAAAAATTAATAAAAAAGTTAATCATTACAAAATTATAACATTATTCCAGAATAGCAAGTTTCCCCTGGGGAATAAACAGGGAATAGAATTGATATTCAAAATATCCCATATTAGCTAGATTCCTATATCAGATCTCGCCTCGAGAACTATCATATTAACACTCGGGCTATTGCCCTCAATCAATATGATATTTTCCTTGGCCAATATCATATTTTCCCTCAATAATAAAATTCAGATTGCATCCATTACATATTATATTTATATTAATCACAAATACATTTTTAAATGCTACTTGGAGAAGTATAAGTACCCATTATAGAATTTCTGGTCTAATTGTTTTTCTAATTGTTTCTCATATCTCTAAGGGGTAGGGGTCAACAAAGCCATGTTAAAAATACAACATAGTACTTAATCATGCATTACATTCCTTATATTACAAAGCCACACATAACTTGCAAATGATTTATGAATACTATTTGGAGCACTATTACTGCCTATTATTTCTCTGAAGCTGCCAAAATAAGATTGGTGAAAGTAAAAAATGAACGAATGTCTCTTTATCATTTTAGAATACACTTGACCATTGTACTAGTGACATATTATAAGGAATCAGTACTATACCAAATATTTAGTTGATGTTATTGCATGATAATCTAATACCCCCCCCTCAAATATTATTCTAGGGGGGTAAAAAGGCTCAGAATCCTTCGTCCACAAACTAATTAGACCCAGACATATGTGAATTGATGCGGAATAAAGTTATCTTTCAGAAAAATTATGTCTAACAAGTGGCCCTCTGACTTCCCAAAATGCTTGCTGTAGACTGGCTTATATGAGGTCTAACATATATTTGGATTTTGCTCTTGAGAGTTTACAAGTATATAGTACCTAATTGCTATTCGCATTGATGATATTTACATTTTCATATTCAAGAACGTCTAATTTTTGGATTGGGTTTGTGGGAGATGGTGGTTCCGCGTCCATGACGTTTTTTTCTTGGGTGGATAATTCAGCTGTAACATACACTAACTGGGAACTCGGTAAGCCCAACGAAGAAACTAGTTCGAAAGTTTGTGTACAAATCGTAAGAACCGATGGTTGTTGGCATGATTTGGACTGTAATATAAAAAGGAGCTGGATCTGTAAAGCAAGAAGGGGTAAGACGCCCAGCCTTCTACTTCTACTCACAACAATATGTAAAGTTCCAATTTTAATATTGTTTAGAATAAAATGAAACAAATTAATATATTGTTGGAAATTCTCTATAGGTCGGTCACATGGAATATCTGGAAGCAAAACTGTAATTTTTGATTTAAAATTAATGATTGTGGTACAAAGATATATGTTATCTCAAAAAACATTTATTATGTCACCACCAAAAAGTGGTGACATAGTGTTATGGCCTCTGTTTTATTTGTGGCGGCGATCGGTTGGCGGTTTGGTGGTTGACGATCGGCTGGTGGCGGTCCACGGTTGGCGTCTGTAAAAAAATTTACAAATTATCAAGCACTGTTTAGACTGACTTCAATTTTTTCAAAATCATCTAAAAGTTTCCAGCAGTTCAAATCTGACTTTATTTGTAAGAGTTGATCTTGTTTTTTCAACTTGCTTCGAATTGACCATTTTTTCAAAATCATCTACAAGTGATCAGGAGTTCAAATCTGACTATAGATTTTAATTTTGACCGTCGATGACCTTCTAAAGGTCAAAAGGTCAAAATGGTATTTTTCAACTTGGTTCAAATTGACCTTTTTTTCAAAATCATCTTCAAGTTCTCAAAAGTTCAAATCTGACCATATATAAATTTGACCTTCAATGACATTTTAAAAGTCCTAAAGGATTTGACCTTGAATGACCTTCTCAAGGTCAAAACGGTTTTATTCCAACTTGCTTCAAATTGACCTTTTTCCAAAATTATCTAAAAGTTCTCAGAAGTTCAAATCTGACTTGAGATTGAATCTTCAATGACAGTATCAAGGTCAAAAAGGTATTTTTCAACTTGCTTCAAATTGACCAATTTTTTTTCAAAACCATGTAAGTTCTCAGAAATTCAGATCTGACTAAGAATGAACAAATAATATTGTGAGTAACTAGGTGGTGACATTTTGTCATGTTAATACATGTTCAACAGTCTCAAGTTCTAGGCAACAACAATATTGTTCTCAGGGGTTTCTTCCAATAGCTTTGTACATTTAATTGACTCCTGAGTAACTATCCTAGTCCAACTTACAACAAAGCTACATCATTCACTAGAACCTTCAGTGGCACTGATTCAGGTTCAAAATATTATTCTCATGTTCGTCATTATTACACAATTAAATGTGTACGAGGGTTGTCCCAGAATTAATACACTATCACGCCTAACCATCGACAACGTACAGTGGCAAAATATACCGTCGTACACTTTAGATGTACGGTGTCTTCCAGGGTCCAGTCATCATTTTTGAATCTCTTCTACCAACTCATAATTGTAGTTCTATCTGGCGTATACCAAAAGTGGCTGCAGCTGGGGCTGGGTATATCAGTGATTATCCCGTCGAACGAAGTTCGGAGGGATATAGGGAACGCCTCCGTCCATCCGTCCGTCCGGGCAATAACTCAAATACCGTTGGCCCGATTTTGTTCATATTTTGTACACATATACCCAATGGGGGTAGAAGTTCTGCTCGAAAACCGATTTTCAAAACGGCCGCTCATTTAAAAATGGCGGCCATTTTAGTGCCGATTTTACAGTAATTTAGGTACTGCATATAACACTGTAATAGCAATATGTTTTAAATGTAAAAAGTTATATAGGACATTGATTAAGCTAGAAATGTAAATATAGAAGAAATACATGGCAGCCATCTTGAAAAATGGCTGCCTTTGCACGTCATTTTCGATTTTTGCTGTAACTTGAAAAGTGGTGGAGCGATTTTGTTCATATTTGGTATGTGAATAATTTAAGCATGGCACAATGTCTAGTGACATTTTGGGTAGTAGGCGGCCATTTTGAAAAATGGCCGCCATTTTTACATGTTATTTAACATTTTTTACTGGAAGTCAAAAAGTAGTGGAGCAATTTTGTTCATATTTAGTATGTCAATGCTTTAAGCATGGGACAATGTCTAATGACATTTTGGGTAGTAGGCGGCCATTTTGAAAAATGGCCGCCATTTTTACGTGTGTTATTTTACATTTTTTACTATAACTCAAAAAGCAGCAGAGCGATTTTGTTCATATTTTATATGTGAATACTATAAGCATGGCACACTGTCTAATGACACTTTGGGTAGTAGGTGGCCATTTTGAAAAAATGGCCACCATTTTTACGGTTTTTACTATATTTGAAAAGTATTGTAGCGATTTTGTTCATATTTGATATGTGAATACTCATGAGCCTAGCACTCTGTCTCATGACACTTCACGTAGTACGCGGCCATTTTAAAAAATGGCTGTCATTTTTACATTTTTTACTATAACTCAAAAAATATTGGAGCGATTTTGCTCATATTTGATATGTGAATACTTTAAGCATGGCACATTGTCTAATTAAACTTTGGGGAGTAGTCGGCCATTTTGAAAAAATGGCCACCATTTTTATGTGTGTTATTTTACATTTTTATTATAACTCATAAAGTAATAGAGCGATTTTGTTCATATTTGATATGCGAATACTCGTAAGGATTGCATACTGTCTTATGGTGTCACTCCGGTAAATAGCACTTCCGGGAAGGACAGTGTTTTTTAATACTTTAAAAACGAAGCCATGCCAACTTCAATGGTGTGTATAGTAGGTTTAAGTGTATGCAATGTGGCTATTTGAGGTATGTATGTAAAGCTGAGGCCAAGTACTTTCTAAATGTGCCATTAACCCTATGTTAAATATAGTGTCAAGATGAAGGTTATGTATAGGGGAACGCAGAAATATAGTCATTGTATGGGCTAGTTCGTTCGAAAATAGCGATATGTACCCCAGAACTTGAATTTTGTGATTTTTTCAATATTTTTCAATGATTTACAGGAGTGACACCTTATGACATTTTGAGTAGTAAGCGGCCATTTTAAAAAATGGCCACCATTGGCAATCTTTTAAAAATTGTATATGTAATGTGGCTACTTAAAAGCATATTACTTCTGATGACAACTTGGCTATTGATCAACCATTTTGAAAATGGTGGCCTTTCTTATTGGTGTTATTTTATGATATTTGCTATATATTTCGTATGTAAAAATGCCAGCCATTTCTGTTCGATGGGATTCGCTACGCTTTGGCGTTGCCGTTGTTCTGGTTACAACTGTTCACACAAACACTTCAAGAAAACATGCTGCGACGTCCAGCCATTTATTCTAATTACCATATTCTTTGTCCAATGTAATGTTCAGCTACACTGGCTGTGGCTGGGTGCACCAGTGATGACGACTGTTCACACGAACCCTTCAAGAAAACATACCGCGGCCAGCCATTTATACCAATCACCATATTCATTGTTCAATGTAATGTTCAGCGCTTTTGGCTGGGTGCACCAGTGATGACGACTGTTCACACGAACCCTTCAAGAAGAAGTGCCGCGTCCAACCTAATAGCGCTGGAGTAAGAGTGTGTGGGGACCCTCATATTAGACAGACCATAAAGAACTCAGAAAGACCATTATGTTATGATTTCGTAGGGCAACCTGGCAAGACGTACCTTTTCATAAAAGATAAGGATTTTGGTAGGTAGTTGGCCCCCATGTGAGAATATGGTCTGCTTTAGATTAAGGTTCTCCTGCGGTCCTTTCTGAGTTCAGTAGTAAATAATACGGCATGGAAAGTTGTAATCGGTTATAGTATAATTAAATTGAGACCAAAAGGCTCACGTAAGACCTGAATTACATTAATTTTCGTCGATGTAAAAATGTGACCTTATTTGTACCAGCACTTGGTTAAACTACTAAACTGGACCCTAAATGATAAAGACAACAATATACACTACCGCTATGGTGTGAGAAAATGAGCTGAATAATATTAAATGATCCTCCTTGGGTAGGATAACCATATACACTTATATTTTTCAGAGATAACTTCTCGGTTTATGGACAGTAACTCGACAAACGCTGATAGTAAATTAGTTGAATACATCAATTTAGTAAACATAAAGAAAGGACCAGTTGTTATGACATTTGATCCCGACACCATTACGATTGCTGTGGAGGGAAAGCCAATAGAGAAGATAAGATGGGCAATGGGAAAGATAGCGTTACCTGGTATGTGGATGACAACTGGCAAAAAGAGGGCGAATGTGTTTCTGGATGATGGGAATACTACAGTTAATATCATAAGAAAGGGCGCATCGCCGGGCCATACTTTTCTGAACTTTGGATTGTTAGAGAATGTCATGTCCACGGAGGCAAATGGAATTTTAGGTATAATTAGAATTTATCAGTGAAAATATACTAGTCATTATAATTTAACATAATGTATCGATTTTTATATTAATGTCCCCAAGTCAAAGGTGGTACAAACGTGCTTATAATGAAATACGCAAACAAATGAAAATCGTAAAATAGCAGTAAGTGGTATTCATATATATCTAGGCACGGTGTGTCCAATACCAGCCAAGCATCTTGTGAAAATTTTGGAAAGCAACACCTTCAAGAAATGGTCATTCCACATTGCACTGAGTACAGGGCTTAAATTCTCAAGGAAAATACATGCAATCATATTATAGACTATCTTTTATCGTTTATCATTGGAGTACTAGAAACGCTATCAAAAGAATGTTTTACATTGCAGGTGACTTGCGTAATAAAGTAGTGTATACCCCGAGAGCATATGGGAAAAGTGGAACCATTCGTTGGGCCGGTGTCTCCTTCCCCGTGCACGATGACGGAACGACCTGTCTTAAAATGGATCCTTTCTATGAACTGAAATTCAACACTCTGCTTCAAATTTTCCAAGTTGACTAAATGATCCGTGGATCCACAGATTCGTCTGAAATATTTAACATTAGTCTTGAAGCAATCTCCTTCCAATTCTTTACTGAAAATAAAAATAACCTTATCACCTGGCCTCAAGTTATACGGTGTACGGCGATGTAGAAAATCGAAAAATTGGATACCGTCAACACATTTACTTAATGCTTCAAGACAGATAGTACTGACCGTGTTTTCGGTCGTTCGGTTTTTTGGTGCATTTATAGTACTAGTCTTGCGCCAAAGGTATACTAATTACTACAATAATGTTACTAATGATGATACAAGACTACTAACCAGGGACGCAGAAGCAGAATATGTTACCGATATTTCCAATTGACAATGGACAAAATCATGCAACTAATTGCTATAAGACGACATATATACATTTACTATTAACATAATAGCAAGGACCAAAATCTGGCGGCCTATCCATTTGTTCTCTGCTGTCAACGTTTCTTTAGTACGACAGTTCATTCAATCAGGGGCTTCATTGCATGGTATTATGAAAAATAATGGCCCGGTTGGGAACATACATCCTAGGAATCCAGTATCTTAGAAAGTATATTATCTCAAAAATTTACACTTACATCTTAACTGGTTAAAATATTTTTGCATGTCCCACTACATGTAAAACCAATAAATAACTATTTATGCATCTTAAGTAAAAACATCTTAGACGCTGTGGAAACTATGATTACTCCAACAACAGCGACGTTCCTGGGGTTCTAAGAGCATTTCTAAATATGGGTTACATGTACAGAGGCGCTGGTTTGTTTTTGGAGTTTCGAAAGCATTTCGCATTTGTAAATACGGATGACTTCTGAAAAAGCATTTTTAATGTATCAATAATCAATATGGGTTACATTTACAGGGGCTTTGGTTTCTTTCTGGGGTTTTCAAAAAGCATTTTTAAATGTATCAATATGGGTTACATTTACAGGGGCTTTGGTTTCTTGCTAGGGTTCTCAAAAATCATTTTTAAATGTATCAATATGAGTTAGATTTACAGGGGCTTTGGCTTCTTTCTGGGGTTCTGAAAAAGCATTTTAAATGTACCAATATGGGTTACAAGTACAGAGGCTCTGATTTGATTCTGATGTTCTGAAGAACGCTGCTTGTAATATTGAATTGATCTTTACTCATTCATTTTCTGTCATTTTCATTCTTGAAAAATACAAGCGCCCTTGGGAGGTCAATTTTGTTTCAAACTCAATGGATTCCTAATTTGATCAATTTTGTGTTGCAATCACCCACGTGTATGTCTGTCCGTCAGTCTATCCGTCAGGCTGTCCATCTGTCTGTCTATAAACAACAGTGGCACTTTTTTGTCAAGGGATATTCAATTTTTTAGCATTGAGTAACTTTATAAATAATTCTAGATGGTCTGTATTGTAAGAACCCATGTCCCTGTTAGCATCAGTTTATTGAGATAAATTTTGTAAGAAAAATTGCCGAAAATTTATATAAGTTTTTTTATTGTGGGCCATTTTTGGATCTTTCATCCTAAAATCTTGTCTTTGAAGTCTTGTCTTCAAGTGTGTCAAGCTAAACTATTTAATGCATTGATATAAGATTCTGTACTAGATAAAGCATAAGAATGAGGTTTTATAAGAAATAATACACCGAAGGCCAAAGGCCTGAGGTTATTATTTTTAATCAAATCGAATTCGAGTGCTTTATCTTACTTAAGGTGACATGGAAGTAAACAGGAAATGACGAAACAGGAAGTGAATTTTTTTTGCATTTTTAGACATTTTTTGAACAAAGATAACAGAGTTCTGGTTTGACCTCCAGTCAATTTAACTATTTCCACATATCATTTACATGACCAGGACCACAATGTGCATGGTTAGAATGACCCTAAACATGATGAAATAACCTTTTTTGCCCTTTGAAAGTGTGACTGAAAAAAAGCTAAAAGTAGGAGCTAGGGAAGGTCACTGAACAGAATCTTTTGAATTTTTCAGAAAATGTGCCCAATATAATGCTCTAACTGATACAATCTTTGAAATTTTAGAAAATTGTCTTAAACAAAAACGGCGGTCATAAAAAGGAAAATAGATCGCTTTTCAAATCAGTTTTTTTCTTTTTTTTCTTTTTCTATGAATGATATCAAATTTTCAAAGGCTGTATCATTTAGAGCAATATATTGGGCACATTTTCTCAAAAATCGAAAAGATTCTGTTCCGTGACCTTTCCTACCTCCTACTTTTAGCTATTTTTCAGTCACATTTTCACAGGGCTGAAAAGGTTATTTCATCATGTTTAGGGTCATTCTGACCATAAATATTGTGATCCTGGACCTGTAAATGGTACTTGGAACTAGTTAAATTGACTGGAGGTCAAAACAGAACTCTGTTATCTTTGTTCAAAAAATGTCTAAAAATGCAAAAAAATTTGTCACTTCCTGTTTTGTCATTTCCTGTTAACTTCCATAGCACCTTAAATCACACAGACTCTTATCACAGGCAAAGGGTCTATTATATTACAGTTAAAATGTCTTTAATCCGGAAAAATGTGATTTCTTTTGTATTGACTATTCAAACTGTGAATTTTGCAAACTTCAACCATTCTCACAATGAACCTGGCTCTTATTGGTTAAAATTTGTTGTTATATAGCCAATTAATTATAACAACAAAAAGAGTTGGTTGCATTGACCTCATGAGTGTGAGTTGATGTAAGTGACTGAGTGGGCTATAATTAGTCTAGCTTCAGTGCACTACAGGTGACTGTCCAGTCCAGAACATTGAATTTGAATACAGCAGAATATTTGTAAGTAAGATAAGATCAATGATGTAGATAGCAACAAAAATTGATAAATTGTTTTATTCTAAAGAATGCACAGTAACAAGAGAAGGGTACATGTAATTTTGTATATTGTTTTTAGGGAATGAAAACTATGAAAAACTGTCAATGGTCATTTATGTCTCACTTGTTTTTGATAGCTTGCCAAGTGTACATTCTTTAAAAACAATAGAAAAATAATGCACTTTCCTTTTGATAAAACCATACATTCTTAAAAATTCTATTGTGTTGCTACCCAAGTGAGATTTAATATTGAATATGTTTCTTACAACTGCTAAATTTAGGGGCATTTTTTGTAAATTTTAGGGTGTCGTAAATTATCCGTCCAAAATCTTGTCTGTAAAGTTCTTTCTACATTTTTAGAGATAAACAACTTCATGGATCAATTTGACTCTTCAAATGATGTTTCTTGGTATAAACAGTACACATGCTTAGTCTTTGGACATTCTGCGTAAATTTTAAGGTGGCGATTCCAGCCCTTTTTGTCCAGAAAACTAATTAACATAACACCATGTGAGTCAAGTACCAACAGTACTATTTTCCAAAAATTGATATTTGACATAAATGAGGTTGTGGCGAAAGGCTATCATGGTTTTTGATGTATCTATGAACATATATTTGATATGCATCCTAGACGTGATCATGCAGGCAGATAATATATACATCTGTCATTTGCGTTTGCACAAATTGAACAAGTTGGTATCTTCCCTTGAGAGTCATTTAAAACTTGATCGATGTAATCAATAGATGACGCAGTGGTCGATTCCTTCATGATTGCATTTTAAAGAAAGTGGGTTCAATCTGTACAGGTGGGAATACTCGGATAAAATGGTCTTGATATTTTCTTATATTTAGATTCATTTGTAAACACATTCAATTCTAAGTGTCATGAAAACACGGTGTTTAAATATTTGAATATAATAAACTACCATGAACAAATGAAATGTTTTGTTTTATAATCCCAAGAAACCAAAGACGTCTGTCAAATATACTGATGTATGGAAAACAGAAACTTGTCTATTTTAAAGCAAACACAGCCTTCATTCAATGTTCCGCGGGTTGTCTACATATAATACTTATTAAGTATGTTAAGAACAACTTCGCCGAGATAATATTATACAAATATTTAATTCTATTGAGGTGAATACCTGTGCATCTTTCACAAGTGATATTCCACGAAGCCCGAAGGGCTAGTGGAATATCATCTTGTGAAAGTGTCACAGGTATTCACCGAAAATAGAATTAAATATTTGTTTTATTATATCACTGTCATAACATCTTCTATAATTAAAGTGTTCTCCCTCAATTGATCGTGCCTCCAAATAAAACTGGTTCAATTTTTCATTCAATGTCGATGTTGATACGTTTTCCAAATCAATCACATCGTCTTTGCTAGATATCCAATCTTGAAAGATCTTCACTGATCTTTTTGTTGCCTTTATTGTGTTATCTGAATGATTATTCCCGTGGATTCTATCAATTTCTTCAGCAGAAATATTTGGAAACCTTTGTTTACCGTCTGCCATTTGGGTTATTATGGGGTATATAAAATGAAAATTACACTGGACTAAGTCAACACCGGGGATGTATAAGTCATGACCGTTGAATATCATTTGATATTCACCGGAAGTCACGTGACTTCCGTTGAATATCGCTACTTATTTTTTAGTCACGTGTAGGACATGGACCAATAAGAGAGTGAGGAATATTACAGTGATATAATAATATAAGTTATTGAATGACTTGAAGTGCAATACAGGATATATTCTGCAATACAAATTCTGTATTGGCACGAGACGAAGTGCCAAAAAGAATATCGAGAGCCCTTAGCACAGGATTTCATTCTGTGTTTTCATTAATTAACTAGTTGCAATACAGGATATTTTTTGCTCGAAAAAGACTGTATTGGAGTACTAGGCCCGAATGCGCTGTGCCGCTCTATGTTCATTCTTACCTTGTGCTATCTGAATTTTATGAAACATTTTCGGCAATGGGCTCATCTGCTGGCAAAACGAGACCCCATATTTATCGGGATTCAGTAAAAACACAACTCGGGGCACTGGCCTGCTGGAACGAAATTCTAAACTCAGCATATTGATCACCCGGGGTGATATTGAAAATTACGATTTTTAGCGTTTTTTCAGACCCAAATACCTAAAAACTAAGAAACAATTTATCGTTCAAACTTTCGGCTCATGATCACACTATAAGCATAATCTCAATAACATATACCATATTTCGGCTTTAAATAATGAATATTTGTTGACCATTTTTGAGAAAGTAGAAAACAATTCTTGACCCAGATTTTGAATTTTGACCTTGACCTCTATAAAAATTTCCTTCCCCCAAGGTCAGCCAAGATCAGCCACGGGACCATATAGTAAATTACTTATTTAGCCAATACTTATTTATGATGATTTACGCCTCAGCTTTATGCCATGTATTGATCGAATTGTTTTATCTACTGCTTACTTGTTATAACATTTATGTCTTGTTTGTACAAATAACAAGTTTTAGTGCCAAATCATTAACAATACCAGGGGGATGATTTTTTTATTATTACACATTGCCAAATAATATATGAATTACACACTACTTTCATCTTCACTGGTCAGTATCAAGCGGGGGAAACAGCCGTAACCATCGCATCTAAGATGCCAGACGGAAAGCGTCGATTTCGATATTTATAGTTTTCATCGAATTGAACTACTTAATAGTTGACGTAATGCTTTGATATTTGAACCAGATCAGGCGTATATGACAGGAGAACTCCTGAGTATGATAAGTTGTCCATATATCGTGCGTGGGCGCCACAGTCACAATTTCTCCATCTCACGATTCCAGTTTACTCGAAACAATACAGTTAAAATTATATTTTAACGAGGTCATAAAGTGTATATATTTGCTATTGTTTCCTCGCTTTATATGTTGATAATTTAGAGTTTTTCTAGCCTTTTTATTTCTTTTATTACTTCAGATGTATCCATAGTTACCCATACTTCTTGTCTTGGGTAATTAAATCAATGCTTAGTTACTACGGTAAGTCTGTTCGGCGTGTCTCCCTGGACGTTCGAACCATCCATTCCGCCAAACAGTGTCTACATCTGTTGGTATTGGACCAAAGATGTCCACATGTTTATCCCTCACAAACAGCGTGTTGTACCAATCAGCATCGATAAGGGGAGGCATCAAAAGATCAATGTCTGATAGAAAACTAAATAAATCTAGTTTGGGGGGGAGGGGGTCAAAGCTATTTCAGTTTGCTATCCGACAAATTTCAACATTTAATTTTTTTGCAATTTGGATTCGAAATGCCTTAGAATGGTTTAAAAATAAAGACTTTACCAGATGCCTTCTTCACCAAGATGCATGTAACATGGAATATTATGCCTATTGTTGTTGGCACATGTCTTAAGAATTAAAAATAAGTCAAAGTACTGCCCCCATGAAAGTCCCAATTGAGTCGCTAAAACATGTGAAAAGTACGCGATCAACTTTCATTGTATTTAGTTTTGAGGGGGAGGGGGGGGGGGTCCAACTCAAAACTAGATTTATTTAGTTTCCTATCAGACATTGAACTTTTGATGCCTCCCCTAAGGGTGTAGCCATATGGTTCAAGTAAGTCATACCAGGCACGCAACGAAGCCCCGTATAATATTTGCTTTTCCTTTGGCCTTGTTGAGAGTAATGTTCTCTTGAAGCCATCAGTATATTTCGTGTGATAATGGACACCTTGGGGGTATACAGGATTATAATCCATACTAAAGATGTCAGCAGGAACTCCAGCCTCCAGAAATGCCTTCAAAACATCCCAATCATAATAATCTACAGGGTGGGCCAAAAAAAACCAATACCCAACTTTAAATCAGGATAAAAATAGTTACATTCAATATGATACATTGACTTACATATCATTTTAAAGGTTATACATTTTCGAACAATTTGGTATATAACACTTTGTCATGAATTCAATATTAAAGTTTTATTATTAATACTTATTTGGGAGGCCGGGTCTGTATTTTAGGTATCCAGATTTTAGGGAGAAAATAGTAAATCTGCAGAAATTTTTTAATTTTTTATTTATAGAATATCATTTTATTAGGTGAATACATGCTTGTATATTTGCATAGTAGTGTGACTAAACTTATTGTTTATGAATTTTAGTGTTGTTTATTATCAATAAATACTCAAAAGTCTGTTAAAAGACATGAAATGTATATGTGACGAGGATTTTATTTTCCAAGACATTGCCTGGTACCATAGATCAAAGGAGACATTGGGTTTCCTTTGCAAACAAGGTGTCAATTTGATTGATCTCGATGCTTGGCCACCCAACAGCCCCGATGATAATGTGTTTGATTACCATACATGGAGCCATCTCCAGGAAATGGTACAATCACAAGCATCCAATAAACAGCATTGATGAGCTGAAGCAGAATCCCCAAGTGCTGAAATGAATTGCAACAGAAATCTCTCAATAAGGCTATTGATAGATTGCGCTGCCTTTTGAAGCTTATTATTGATGCAGAGGGGAGGGGGTGGGGTTATATTGAGCAATTGTTAAAATTGTTTAAATAAATAAAGTGTAAAATGTTATTAAACAACACTGAAATTCATAAACAATAAATTTAGTCACACAATGATGGAAATATCGATATCCAAGCATGTATTTACCTAACAAAAAATGATATTCTATAAATAAAAAATTAACATAATTCCACAGATTTACTATTTTCTCCCTTAAATCTGGAGCCCTTAAATAGCTACCCGGCCTCCCAAATAAGTATAATAAAACTTTACTATTGATTTCATGACATAGTGTTATATAAACAGGATCTTAAGAGGTTCTGGACAAATCATTTGATTCTGGACTTGTCATATTTTTTTTTCAACGAAATCACATCCAAGGGTTGAATTTTTATTAGCTATTTAGAGAGTGAGTCCTGCCTAGTATTAATTTCAATAAAAAAGTTAAAATAGAACCCTGTTTGAGAGTCAATCTAATACTTACATTACATTGATAAATTAAGGCAAATCCTGAAATATTTTTAAAGTGCATTTTTTTATGAAATATTATCCAGCAAGTATTTAAATGAAACGGTTTTATTTAAATACAAACCATAACATGATATTTTTCATGAAACATTTTTCAATGAAATTCAATTGAAGGGTCAAGATAAAACGAGCTAATTTAGGTGAAAACCCTTACATGATGATGTGTTTTCATAACTTCTTTCATAAAATTCCATCAAGGGGTGAAGATAAAATGATCGAATTTAAGTGATTTAAGGATCACGAGAATATGTTTTCTTTGATATTTTCTATGAAATCCCATCCAATGGTCAAGGTAAAATTTTGATTTTGATTTTGATTTGGTCACGTGTTCGAAAGATCCATATAAGGCCCATAGAACCATATAGGAACGTCATTTTGAATGTCACGTGATAGATCCATATAAGGCTTTTAGAACCATTTATGGAAAGATGAGGGGAAGCCCCTGACACCTGTTTTGACACGATTTTTATGCACTTCATTATTGTACCGAAGTTTGCCGATTCGATTCGTCGTATTTCGGAATCCTGGTGACAATTTTATACTCCATTGGAGTATTTTTGACCTACTTCTTATGACGGAAATTCCCGAACCTTGTTCGGATTAATCCGGATTTTCTGACCTACCTTATCTACCGAGATTTCACGAGTTAACATTCGTCTCATTCCGGAATCCTGGTGACAATTTTATACTCCATTGGAGTATTTTTGATCTACTTTTTCTGGATTTTGCCCTACTTATTATATCTTGACAACAAGCAAATCAAAAAGTTCGACATGAACGGGTCTCGATCAACTAACCTAGACTATGGAAGCCAGGCACGCTAACCATTAGGCCAACGAACTACCGATATGAAAGAACAAAAGTATTATATATTTATACCGAGCGTCAATTCAAAATGATCCTCACTTTTGTCTCCACTTAAATACGACTCGTCAGTTGTATCCAGAATAGTAGAACGCCTATGGCGCTAGTGAATAACCAAGTCCCAGGTGAGTGGTTCGTATCCCTCCGTGATATACTATTTTTGTTTTATTAAATACGACAGAAAGGAGCAAGGTGTAGGTTGAAAACAAGACGTTAGTTTGTTTCAAAACAGTTTGGAAACATTAATCTCTGATAATTTAAGGTTTTCCACTCCTGAAGGGCCTCTAGATCTATGAAATAATCCACTCAGTAAAAATACGATTTCTCTGCAACCTGATGTCCAATCAAGATCATTCAAATATATATGTGTTCCTGACACGTTTGGGCGTCCGGGAATAAAATTGCTTGTGAAAACTACAGGTATTTACAAAAGTGTTCCAGAGACCCTTATCTACTTGGCTAAGGTTTTATTTGAAGATACATTGCCTTATTAGAGATTTTACATTTTGGCATGCCATCTCCTGAGCTAAGGTGAACTAAGGTCATGTGATCATTTATATCCAATCAAAATGCATTTCTGCCACATAGTGATGGCATAGTGATCCAAAGCTAAACCAAGGTGTAGGAAGGGTTTATATTGTCATATAGAAGGGGTGCACTCTTCTGATTGGCCATGGTTGACATGCATGTTTGCAAACTTAGTTCTGGTATCCTAACAAAATAAATTCATACTACGACACTACACTGATGCCTGCATCACTTTTGCTCCGTTTGTTCAAAATTGTATTCAATTTTGAACAAAATACTCAATCGGCAGGGTGCCGTAATGAAAATAGGAGCATTCGGAATTACTTGTACACAGTGAATACCAATAGCCCATTTTCAGTATAGCAATTTCTAAGAATGGTTTACACATTTTATAAATAAGGGTTTCGAAAATGCTACATCATGGAATACGATGACCCTCTCTTCTTGCATCATTGACACAGACATGATTTTAGATGCGATGTGTATCAGAATGAAAATGTTCTGACTTTCTTCCTATATAACTTGACGGGAGCGTGCAAAGTACTTTCTTGATCACTAAAAATAAATGCCACTGTCACAGGAACTCTGCATTTAATGTAAATCCATTGAAAATTAATATGCTAAAGTAAAGTAAGATACGAAGATCAGATTCTTTATAACACTTGATACACATCTATATTGATATAAGTAAACCTCATATTTTGAAGGACCAACTATCTATCATATTACTCAGATTGGATTAATCAATATTCTCATAGTCTCTCTCGTTTGTATGATTGTTCAGTTTGTTTAGATCAAAAATCTCAAACGTTGAACTCATATTTTCTCCATTCTTCAGGGTGTATAAACTAACAGTTTGTACTTTCTCCAGTGTGGGTTAAGGAAGTAGTTATCAGTAATTTACACAAAACAGAAAATGAAAAGACACTTGGATATTCGATTTTTTTAAACACAACACATTTTTTTAAATCAATAGAGTTCTGTTTTGCCCACCAATCACATATCTCAACCTTACATATCATTTACATGACCAGGATCACAATGATCATGCTCAGAATGACTCTAAACATCATGTGAGACTTTTCAGCCCTCTGAAGTTGTGACTGAAATATGCTTAAAAAGATTACTTTTGGAAATGTCTCCAAACAGAATGTTCTGAATTTTTCAGAAAATGTGCCCAATATATTGCTCTAAATCATAGGAGCTTTGAAATTTTGAAAAGTTGTCTGAAACAAAAATTGTAATCATGAAAAGAAAATGGATTGCTTTCTAAATCAATTTCTCATTTTCCATTTCTAGGAATGAATTAAAATTTTCAAAGCTCCTATCATTTCAAATAATATATTTGGCACACTTTCTGAAAAATGCAATAGATTCTGTCTGGTGACCTTTCCAAAAGTCCAACTTTTAACTGTTTTTGAGTCACATTTTCTGAGTCACACTCCTGTGTATATACTTTCTCAAGTATGTATGAACCGAAACTAGGTTCATTTCCCATGTGCCTAAACCAATATTTTATTTTTTTATTTAATGTTTCAGAATCAATATATTATCAATATTTTCTTCTGTGTGTATGAACTACTATAACTATTTGTATTGACAAATATCATATACTTTCTCCAGTGTGTATGAGCAACTATTATGTACTTCCACCAGCTATTTAACAAATACTCTGTACGTTCTCCACTTCCCATGAACACATTTTATGCACTTTCTCCTGCATGTATGAACAAATATTTTGTGTTCATTCTCCAATATGTTTAAGCAAACCATTTGTACTTTCTCCATTGTGCATGAACCAAAACTTTGTTCATTCTCTCCCGTGTCTCAACAAATATTTTGTTTATTAATCAATGTTTCAGAAAGAATAAAATGTTCCTAAACCAGTGTGTATGAACAAATGTCATGTTCTACTATATCTATAGTGTGTATGAAGAGACAATACATTCTCCAGTATGAACATGTATAGGAACCAACACGCCTGTGTATATACTTTCTCCAGTATGTATGAACAAATATTATGTACATGTACTCCATTGTTTATGAACACACATTTTGTATCAACAAATAATATGTACTTTCTCCAGTGTGTATGAACGCAGATGTTGTACGTTCTCCAGTCTGTATGAACAAATATTTTGTTTATTCATCAATGTGCATGCATGAACCAACACTATTAATTTGTAAATGAAACCCAACGCTTAATTATGAGTGCCGTATTTCCAAGTAAGATTTTTTAGAAATGTGCCTGTTTGTGTAATTTAGTCACTAAACAACTTATAAATGTCTGCAATAATAGAAAAACTCATAGTGATTTTTTGGGCGTTTTGGCAAAGCCTTTGGTTTGTAATGGGAAGACTGTCTTTATCACTAGAACTGTTCTGCATGGGGTCTTTTGCACATTGATAAGTTATATACTAGATATAGTACATTTAATCCATAGATTTGCAATGTCTAGGTTTTATTCAAGTAACTGGCTTCACTGAGTGTGTATTCAAATGTTGTGCTTATGAAATGTAAAGACTCCTGTACTACCTTATGAGTGAAAATAAACTCTTCCAAAAGTGATAGGACCTTAGTGCACCCATGCCATCGTAAGGACCTTAGGTTGGCATGCCAAAATGTAAAATCTCTATTAGCAGGTAGAGGGGCATACAGAACACAGAAGCAAATGCTATGTTTGTCTTATTGGGGCTTTTCGACTTTAAAACAAACCCTACCTAAATGGATTGTGTCTCGGGAACGTTTTTGTAAATAGTTATTATAAACAATTCTGAAAGAATATCACATATTTTTGTCTTCCCGATTTCAGTCATGAATTACGTCAATTTCTCGTGCAAACATTGGGTAGACGTTGTCATAACCGGATGCCCGAACGTGTCAGGAACATATAGATACTCGAATGATGTTGATTGAACATCAGGGTTGAGAGAAATCGTAATTTTACTGAGTGGCTTCACGAAAAAATAAGCAGCACTTTAGGCCACCTAAATACAACTCGTCAGTTGTATCCAGTTGGAATCCCAGCGTAATGTTTTTAATTATATGGTTGTGCTTTGATTTTACGCTGAAAACATTTATAACTACGTCAACTTTATATTAAAACATTTATTATCTTTTCAGTTGTATTAAAATGTAAAATATGATATATGTCAGCTTATTGCTTTCTGGAGAACAGTCAAGGTTTAAATTTGGTACAATGAATCGGACACTCATGTAAATCGACATGGTTATAACATTGAACTCAATGCAGTAAATTAGTTATTTCTATGAATCACAGCGGGATTGGTTTCATTTTATATGATTGCCAACTCTGGCGGTTTTTTTGTAAATGCTTTTGACCGCTGTAAATGTGAAACTGATACAGTATTATTCAATTGTTTTATGTCTTGGTCACATTTGCTCCGATTTTCACTACGGCGCCCGGCCGATTGAGTATTGTGTTCAGAAATGTATTCAATTTTGAACAAAATACTCGCAGCAAATGAGATCCAGGCATTACACAGCGGTATTTCGAACATACTATTGTTGCTTAACCACGACATAGCCAATTTTAAAATCATACTCCTTATTTTAATCCAAGTAAACGATCAATGTCTAGGTATTTGGCGTTTGATGATACTATGGCCCTTGGCGAATTATGATTAGATGAACCGAGGTCAACATTAATGTTTCTTGTACAAGGTCATCCCAAGGTCTAAGATAAATATTTAGGTATTTTACGTTTCAAGACCTTTGGACAAATTCGATTCAACGATGTATTAAAGTTAAAATGTATACAGAGATAAAATAGGTTATCTCCTATCGTTTCCTTGTGTATACGTTTATGTCTCTGCGTAATAACGCAGATGCGAGCAGGTAGTTACCCATCTCACCACAAGGTGGCTCGTTCGGGTCAGATAGCATGGCGGGTATGGTAGAAAGTTCCCTTTAACTTAAAGTACATCTGTTTTCGTGGTTCAATTTTCATATCACCCTTAAAATGTATCTAATAGCAATGCAATTAAAATATGTCCAGTGAACGAAAATGCAATACAAGAATAGATATTTCACTTTTTGTGATTTTGTAACAATGGGGTTATTTTTTGTATATGTAACATGGTCATTTTCACATTTTATATTATTACTGTTCATATTAATCAATCCCTATTCATCTCAATATAACAGGTCCCTAAGTAGGTTGTTTGCAGTTTTACTCTTTTAATACCATGTTCACTTTTCACCTTGAGTTATTCAACTATGCAAACTGTGTCAGTTTTATATATCTATTGTTCCCCTATATGGTCTTTCTCACTCACATGTAGCTGAGTTTGCATTGGGTGTTGGCTTGTCAGTAGTTGCTGTAAGAGTTCATGTTGTACATTACAGAGCATTGTATTTTAAACATTGAAGTTTGAAATATACTATTTTATATATATTTTAATTTGAAGTTCGAGTTATTTTATTGCCACCCACGGGCCTTCCACACGCCCATTTACATATAACGCTTTGAAACAACTTTAAAAAGTGAGCAATGTCAGTGTTGTGATAATAGAGAATTTTCGTTATAAGTTGTTTCAAAAACTTATACGTATACTTATAGTTTAAAGGGTCTTGTCGAACTAAAATCAATTCAAATTGATTTTCATAATCTGTACCAAGTGGGGCATAACTATTCCCGATATAGTCAAGCTTCATCATCAACTAGGGACTGCGAATACAATGTCCTTTGCTAGTGTCAATTATGAACACGATAAACTAAATTCTAGTTGACGGTGTGAAAGAAATGATGGTCCCCCAGGGATTATGGTCCCCTTTCTTAACGGCCCTTACTGGCCCTGATTGCGTATAAGATAATGAGGGAAAGTGTTGTATTTAGGTCACCATATAAATCGATGGAGAGTAGGACCATAATTTGATAGGACCTCCTACCCTTTTACAACGGGTCCTTGTAGTGTACGATAAACAAGACCCTTTAAAGTGAATCACTACACGAACGAGTCGATCATTTCAAAGTTCTCATGAAATTATAAGGTCAATTTTTAAGTTTTTACGTATAAAAGGGCCTTTATACGCAGATTATAAACTTACAGAGTTGGATCTCCGCATAGTATATGTGTGGACCTACTGACCAGAATGGCTTATTAAAATGAATCGGCTGAATAGGCATAGTATCCAATCAAATAGCTCGACTCATTCATTAGCTGAACTAATTCTCCCTTCGTTATTTCTACAAGGTGATTCAAAACGATCATCTACAAAAAATATATTTGAGAGTAGATAAATCTGTAAAACCCGTGTGCTATATCAGCCTATTTGATTCTAGAAAACACATATGACACAACTAAACATGCTTTACATCAAGGGGGTACGGATGGTATGCCATTGGCCCTTTTTATTACCGTCCTAGGAGATATTTCCCGACGAATTAGGAAATTATGAAACACCTTGTTTATTGGGTTTATAAGTATAAGTATACGTATAAGTTTTTAAAAAACTTATAACGAAAATTCTCTAATAACGCCCCTCATACCTATTTATTACAGGTCGTGTAGACCATTGTTGCCTGATTTATAGCAAAAACATTGACTTTTGCACGTTGATGATGATGATGATGATGCGCCTTTTATAATAGATCTCATATCTTAGAAGCGTATCAGTTCAAAAAATACTAGAAGACTTTACATATTTTGCCATGCACTGCGCCTATTCATTTGGCAATTCAGTTGTAAATTTTATCTTGAAAAAAATAAATCTTCCAAATTTGTTGAGTTTTCTTGCAGAAATCGCCTACCCCCCCCTCCATCCATTTTGTATGATCACAAGGCGTGATTTAAGCTGCTGATATTCTTCTTTAAACG